ATTTTCTTTTCAAGCTTTCAGATCTCATATCAAATTTTACAATAACCCTGGGTTATTTTAACCCAGCTTTGAAAAACCCGGCCTAGACCTTTTTTTCATGTAATCTTATATGTATGATGGTGGCAGTGAACAAAACCGCTCAGAGATAAGCGATAATTGTACGCGCAGAACCTGCGCATTTTTCGAGTTATCCCACTTGGAAAGAGAAAAAAAAGCGCGAAAACACTCGCTTTTGGACGCGGAAGGATACCTTTTTCACGTTTTTCTGTAAGGAAAAATTGAAGTTTGCAAAAAAATCTGATTTTGGCGAAAAGTCTTTTAGAAAAGACTTCTTTGACTCAACACTCTGAGTCACTTCAGGCATCAGGAACCAGGATATGCTCCGGTGATGTGGGTCCCTATGCTTTTAAACTGAATTTACCTACCATATATGATCATTGATTTGTTCTGTAGGTGACAGATACAATCCACCCTTGCCATTTGCTAGTTTACTTCACTTGAACCTGGCAAACAATCTCATCTTTGAAGAAGATGGCCTCTTAGCTCTGATGGGTTGGCCATCCCTCAGAGAACTTGTAATATGGGGCAATCCGCTGACAACTGCATTCAAAGGAGATCCCCCTGTTCTTTCACTTCAACTTGGACGATTGAAAGGAGTGAGGATTTTCAGGTAAGGTCAAAATATTTACGGTGTAAGAGAGAACCAAGAAATGTTATGAAGTCTGGCTGTTTTAACATTGTTGGACAAACTCTGTGCTCTCAGTAACTGTTGCTGCATATACAAGCTACATTGATGTGCCCGTGCACAAGCTTTATATTTGATACGGATCTTATTTATTGCTAAAGTTTATTATCATTGTTGGAAACATTATCTGTGGAAAAGTGGTTAATGAATACCTGTTCACTGCAGGCATAGTAACGTAGGAACGATTTCTGCCAATATGTTAATGTGACTGCTGCAGTGTAGTGGAAACAAGTTTCTCTTTAATGCTCAAGAAGCTGCTGTAATACTGTTTCTCGCGGGTGGTTTAGTTCTTACAGCCTAAAAACACAATGCATCACCGTCTTCACAGCGTTCGCATATGCGTAGATGTTTGACCCTAACGTTTAATTTAACTCGCTTTGGCCTTAAAGTGATAAGTGTAGGACTCACCACCTGAGCTACTTGTAGGTGTTCTTAAACTTTGTCTTTCTGAGAAGCTGCCCATTATTTAAGTTCTATCCTGTTTTAATATTGTTCGATGGTTCTAATTCGCCTATCAACAGACAAAAGCCTCCGAAGAGACCAAAGCCAATTGTGAACTTAGCAAACAATCAAAGAAAAGTAAGTAAAAAAAACCTACCTTATGTCCTTATTTATAAATCTTTAATGGTATTTCCAGAAAAACTTTTGTCCTTTTGGACTTATTAATAAATAAGTTTGTTAGTTTTTTTCTGAATTTTTTTTTATTAAAAATCATAGGTTAAAGATACACTTCCCCCGATGCCCAAGAAGCAAAACCTGGCGATGCTAGAAGCTCCTCCCGAGCCAAAATCAACTGCACATGTCGGTCCACCATACAAGACATTGCCACCAATTGGATCAGCCCCTCCCACGGGACGGCAGCGTGATACTGCCACCCCGAGAAAACTCTCTACCGCGCCTGGCCTCGCTGATACAACACCCCGAGGCGACCGTCCCTCTTTCAGCCGGACTAACACTACACCTCTCGAGTTTCCCGAGTCAGCGGCTTACCAGTCCGGTCACACTACAAGACAGACAATGAAGACAGAGGGAGACGCTACTGCCAGTGAAAGTTTGGGAACTGCTGATGGGCGACATCAACCTCGAGCAGAAAAGCATCTCAATTCTGAGGACGGATTTTTTATGACTCAAGTAAGAAATTTCGCTTTTGAATTACAAATTATTTGCTGTTTCTCGAACCCTAGCGGCAATCTAACCTTTTCACTCCCGGGATTGAGAAAAAAAGTAGTTTCTTCTTATTGTATTGTTATAAGTTAAACCTTGTTTCGTTTTGAATACATGCTTGAAGTTATGTTATGCGCTATGTTGTGCGAATGAAGAAAAAGCTGAAAATTAGAATTTTTTCATGTCTCGCGGTCACTTGTGAGAGGGTTGGTTTCATGGGTGTTTTTGTTTGGTTTTTACAACAGATCGATGAACAAGAAGATGCACAGAACGTTGAAGCCCCCGTGCGAAAGGTAAAGGAAGACAGAGAGAGAGAGCGACCCTTTAGCGTGGAAACAAAGTACAAAGGTTACGAGGATCTGTTAGATGTTGATGAAGATGACCCCGATGTTATAGTGCCAAAGGATCTTCAGGGAAGTGTACGAGCTTTAAACTACGCCTTGGCTCATCCTTTGATCTTCAGTGAACCTCATGGAACTTACAAAGAAAAGAGGGTTAAGAAGCCTCAAGTAAGTGTTCGTTTATCTAATAATACATTGATAGACACGCCTATGTCATTCTTCGATTCCCAATACTCCAAACTCGATACCTGGGAGTATCGACTATCGTTAATCGAGAGTCGGGAAACGATGTTCCATTTCCTCCTCCGTAATCGTTATTTGATGCTCACGAGTATCGGGAATCATGCAAGGATTAAGGTTCCAATATGACTGAGTATCTACTCGATACCAAGAATTGAGAACCGAGTATTGATGATTAAACACTCATTTATTGAGGAGTTGTGTGTAACAGTGACGCATGCTTGACATCATTTATATATGAGATGTTGTGGAGGTGTCAGTTGTAAATAGTCGGTTACCTTTTTAGTAGAATTGCATTCCAGCCTTGGTACAAAGCTGTTCAAATGATGCATGCGCTGTTTTCAGTCAATGTCATGAATTATTCACTGAAAATTATCTCCACAGCTTCCTGTTTAATTATGTGCACAGGGTATGTACATCTCTTACACTGTATGTCATTTTTGCATTTTACAGACTGTGTCAACATCAACGGGGACGAAGTCTCGGCAAAGCAAAGTAGAGGAACTCGGGGGAATTTTAGACAAGATGCGAGTCCAGTCCAAGACGAAAGAGTCCAACCTAGGTTGGTTTTTCAGAGTGATCTGTCCTTGATTTTGATTTAAGTAATCTTTAAAGGTCTACGAAAAAAACATACGACAAACATGTCATGTTTAATGGAGAAATACAAAGCTTATGGTCAAGAAAATTTAGTCTCAGTCATCACTGGTCTTTTTTGTTTTGCGATTCAGAAACTGCTCTCCAAGATTTGAAGAAGGATCCAAAGCTTAAACAAGAATATCGTGAGGCTAAAAAGCTTTTGAATGAGGTATGCTTAGATTAAAAATAATTTTTTCCAAGTATTTTTCTATGGGAGCTCTATGCAGGAGAAATGTCCTCCCCCCGCACTCTCCCTTACACTGAGTCATGTAAATTGCGCATTGTGTTAAACCAAGCCTTCGCTGTTAACCAAGGAAATTTACATTTAGTTATAGAAAAGAAATAATGAAGCGTTATCTTCCTGAAAGCAGCCGTTTTTGTCAGTCACAGCTCATTTGTCTTGTATGAATTAAGCTTTTTAAAAACAAATGTGTTGTTTCCAACTCCACTAGGTCCAAACGAAGTACAACGAAGTTCGAGTAGCTTCGCTGAAACCGACGTCCACTGCCCTAGAGCTCTTCGGAACACGACCCGAAGAACGAACGAAAGAAAAAAAAACTCGAACCTTCGCTACTCCTCAAGCAGGAGTAGAAACTCTGGGAAGCAACAAGAATATCGCAAAGGAACTCAAACGATTCAAAGAGAAAATAGACAGTCGATTATGACATAATAATGTAAATGCATTTGTTGTGCTACGATTGTAAATATTATGTGATGGAATCGAGGTGCAAAATTTATTCAGAGTTTGTAAATAAAAATATATTTGTAGACGCATTTCTTTCACTGTTGTCTGTATTCGCATAGAGCTCCAGTAGTTTAGCATGTTTAAGCAATCACTTCTTCTTGACTGTCTTTTTTCGTTTTTGGTAAATTTTCTACCTATGGAGTGGCTACACTTTAGCATGCTACAATAAAAGGATATTGTGTTAAGAAAATTAAGTGAATGAAATCACGCCTCTGAACCGCTGAAATAATGGCAATCTCATGTATATAAATGATGCATACGAACGGCAAATGTTGTCAAATGACGGCGAGTGATGTTCAATAACAGTGATTGATGTCTTGTTGGGGGTGAATGAAGACCAGTCACTGTAAACTGATGCTTGATGATGATGACATCTTACGGTGAACGATTTTTATAAAATAACCGAAACTACGAGCACCCGACTCGTGATTTACAAACTTTTAGAGTGCTCTCTCAATATCCTGAGTGGCTTATTACGCTGATAAACCGATAGAAAGTGGAGAAAAAAACAGAGAAAGAAAGAAAATGTGACAAAGAACAGTAACAGGCCTAATGTCTATAGCAAAATCTTTATTAAACGTGCTGGATTCCTGTTCACTGTCCGAAGCAAAAAAAAAAAAAAAACAAAACACAAAAAAAAAACTATGCACGATTCGTTCCCCGTTCTCGTCGTAGAGTCCATACCATTTCTTAATTTTAAAGACGAGTGGCTCTGGGTATGAGTAGTTCCCTTTCCATGTGTCTTGTTGTTAATGTACGACTTATTCTTGGGCTGTCTGTGCATTGTGCAATACAAACTTGAACTCGTGATTCATTAGTCATCCTCAAAAGGGGAAAGATAGCATAGATACCAAGTGTTCTGCTTAAAGATCTAGAAATGATTCACATCAGGGCTGCCAGGCTAATTCATAAGATACCAAATAGTTTTTCGCTTGGGGATAATGAACTTTTACTATAGAGTATTTTTATAAGCTTATACTATTACATATAATGCTTATTATAATTTAGGGTTGCGGGAAATTAATTGTTTGGTGACCAAGAACTCTAACAGTTATAACCTAAGGAAATCCCTGAATGTTGTACTTAATAGGCCCAAAACCGAATTGGGTCGTAGGTCCTTTGCTCATAGATCTGCAGTAGCATGGAATGCACTTCCCGATAATGTTAAAGATTCTCCAAATTTATCTATTTTTAAATATAACTTAAAACAATCCAAGCAAACTGTCATGAATATTAATTTTGAAAAGGGAGGTAATGTTATACAAAACATGAAACCAAATTTTCACTATTACTAAAACTTTCGCCATATCTGTATTTTATTTTAGCAGGCAGCTGCTCGTTTGTTCCAAAGGTCGGTGTTTGAATTTGAGCTTGGTGAAGTACAGCTGTTTCTCGCTCAGTTCTGTTGGGATTTTGTGCGGTGCAAAGATGGCGCAAGCAAAAGCACACACAACAATTCTGGACTTCGAGGTAAAAGATATCGATGGCAACCCTGTAAAATTGTCCAAGTACGACGGCTTTGTGACGCTCATCGTCAACGTAGCGTCTAAATGAGGCTTCACAAAGAAGAACTATGCTCAGCTACAGGAACTGCACCAAAGGTAAGTTTCACGTAACCTCTCCATTGGATCTTAGGTTTTAGAGTAGAGTTGTGTTTTAAATTTGCCTTGCCCTAAAAAAAAGCGCTCTAATGGAGCTGATTTGCAATTTTTCAAAGCTATTGTTTAAATCCAACGTACTTCTCCAGTAAAACTTGCTTGGTTCTTCGCCATGGGCGCACAACAAATACAAATTTTCAATGCGTCAAGTTATTGTGCTGTGCGCTCCTTTATTGTTGTCGATTACATGTGAGCTGAACTTTTTTTTTTTCAGTTCATTTTATCACAATGTAGTTTACTAAGTGTTTGGGGGAGCAGTTGGTGGACTTTCGCTGCTAAATGGATAATATTTGCCGAAGCAAGTGTATGATACAGGGCCAATATTGGCGTGGTATTCTGCCAGGTAGCCCAAGCTTGATATAATGCAAGTACATCTGACCTGGGTTGTTCAAAGCTAGGTTAAGATAACACAGGGTTAGTGTGGAATTTGATGTCAGGTCTGAAAGCTTTAAAAGAAAATTCAGTTTAAATTTTTTGGCTTGCAATTTGATTGTTGGATGTTCCCAAAAAGAGTAGGAAAAGGCTTTGGATGAAAGAAATAAAGAAACCTGGAATTAAAATTTAACCTGTGGATACAGGCGCCAAGTGGCGACTGAAAATTTTTTTTCAGTCGCCAAATGAAAAAATCTGGTCGCCAAAAAGCGGTTTGTAAAATTTTTGTTTCAATCGGCCTTCCATTAACTGGACTATGGTACCCAATGAATATCAGGCATTGCAAAGTTTTATTAACAAATGTTGCAGCAGGAGTATGATGTGAAGTAACTAGAATGAAATACATAATGGTTCCAAACTTGAATATGAAAAAAACTCAGGCCACTGAAATTTAGCAAAGGAATCTAGGGTTGTGGGTGGAGAATTCTCCAATTCTAATTCCCAATCATCAGCCTGAATTTTTATGGGGAATTTGGCTGAATTGCAAAACAAAAAAATATCTGGAATTAAGATAATAATTAGATAATTGAGCTTGATGGGCAGTATGTTTTCTGGTCATTGGTGTGGTTTTTGGGTCAGTTTCAAGGGAAATGCTCAGCTAAAACTCATAGATTTGCACCATTGTGACAGTAGATGATACAGGGCTCAAAATTGCGACCGATACGGTCATCAGTGTGACTAAAACTTTTAACTTGGCGACTAAAAATTCGAGTTTAGGCACCACTTTGATGACTGTGTTCCTCTATTAAGTAAAAGATTAAAGGTGAGAAACAATTTCCTAAGTCTTGTTTCTACTTTTCTGCAAAAGAAAATGCAAATTAAGTCTGGTTACCTTTAAGTTAAAACTTGAAATTGCATTAAAATCATGACTTCCGAGACAACATTACAGCGGCTTTTAAATGTTGATCGCAGGTGCAGCATTTTGTTGAAAGGCTGTTGAATTTAAACGTGTTCTGTCGCAGATTATGTCGCAAGGATCTGGCATTCAAAGCACAAGCTATCTTTCACCATGTGCTCAATCAAGTGAGACAAGTCTACACTGAAAGTCATGAATTATTTATGACAGGAGAAGAATACACTGAGTGATTTTTATAATTTGCTTCAGTCTAGAAATTACCAGGAAGCGAGATTGTTGTTAATATGCAAACAAGAAGTGTTTCAAAACCTTTAAAAAATGTTTGTTCAGAGTGTGAATTGCATGCAGCAACTACTGGAGGATATTTTTGCAACATGTTTAGTTCCAGAAGCCGAACAACTATGTCAATTAAATGAGGCTCTAATCTGAGTTTCTGTTCTTGAACTACCTGGCAACTGCATTTTTGCATTTGGTGACCATTTTTTCTTTGATAGTCACCAAAAGGTGTTTTGGAATTATTTTGATTTTGATCCTTGTGATATCGTGTAAAGATCAGGAAAATCTGTAAAGATTACTGTTCAGCTCAGAACTGATTATGTTACACTGTTGGATTGGGTTATAGTTGGGTTGCAAGTGATCAAGATTAACTTTTGGACCAGACATCTTATTATATTGTTATAATTAGTAAACCAGCATGAAAGTTTACTTTTGATTCACTGTTTATTATCTTCAATCACTAGGAAACCTTGCTCTAACATTCACCCCTTATGCTCACTGCAGCTTAGCCCTTTAACTCTCAGGATCTGATTGTAAATTCTCCCTGCAAGTTGCTACATGTTTCCTTGTAAATAAGTTATGAGAATTTGGTGTTAAATCAACTTGAAGATAACTTCTACCTGATAAGTTTATGCCATGATGGGTGCATTAACCCTTCAACTCTCATGATCTAATTGTTAATTCTCCCCTCTAGCTGTTACACATTTCTTTGTAAATAAGTTACAAGAATTTTGTGTTAGATTAAGACAACAACTTCTACCTAATACATTTGAGTACTCTCAGTGTGTGCTGGATGGTGGCTAAATATTGTAGGGAGAAGTTACTTGTTAATCACTTCTGGGAGTTAAAGGATTTATGTAGTTACAATGTATCCATTACAGTCTACATTTTTCATCTTTTGTTTTGAAATTATGATACCTAATACATGACCACATCTTCAGGGGTTTCAAAACAAGCCAGTGACCACCAGGAGTTCTACTGGCTATTTAATAACATGTCACCCGTTTCTGTGGTGAAAATAATTACCTTTTGGCCCTTAACCTTTTAACTTGTAAGATTTGATTTCATTTAGTAATTCTCTCTAATGTCTGCTATACTCTTCATGTTATGTTAGTTTGGAGAATGTGGAATCTGATCAACCAATAATCCCCTAATTGATATTTTTCTTTATTCTCATTACCTGTCTGCTTGATATTGTACTGATGTGAAAGAAGAAATTCCTCTAGGTCACTAGTGGAACTTAAAGGGTAATGAACTTTTCACAGTCACCTACTTTTGCAGAGTCTGACATCTATTTTAAAACATTTTAGAACCGCTGCATCATAAAACGAAGGAGACCAAATGTGAAACCAAGAATTAATTTCAACCAGTGTTAGGGTGTTGACCCTCAAGCCCCTAAGAGTGACTAGCATCTAATTTCTCCTCACCATATCACCCCTGATTAAAACATAAAAGTCATGAGAATAGAAGAGATGATCACCAACAAAAGCAGCACTCAACTGTTAGACAAACTCTCCTTGTCAGCCTCTTTAGAAGTGTATGGTGAACAGTACGGAGAATATGCATACTGATTTAAGGGTGTGAAAGTTTTAGGGTTGACCCTTTACACCCTCACACAAGTCTGCACATTCTCCACACTGTTCTCTATACATTTTCCAAGTTGCTGACAAGGAGAATTTGTTGAACAATCAAGAGCCTCCTTAGTTTGTGATCATTTGCCATATTTTGTGACCTTAATGTGTGATTTTGTGGCATTAATGTTAGGAGAAATTAGATGCTAGTCATTCCTAGTTTAACAGAATGTAACCTGGTCTGTTGTCAGAGGTGTGTGAACAAACTAGTCTTTTTCTTTTTTTGAAGTTATGCTGAGAAAGGTCTTCGCATTCTTGCTTTCCCTTGCAATCAGTTTGGAGGACAAGAGCCTGGTACAGAGGGGGAAATCAAGGAGTTTGTGAGTACTTATGGTGTGGAGTTTGACATGTTTGGCAAGATTGATGTCAATGGATCAAATGCAGATCCACTGTATGTCTTCCTGAAAAATGCCAAACATGGAACACTGACAAACAACATCAAATGGAACTTTACAAAGTTTCTGTGTGATAGGCATGGGGTCCCTGTCAAAAGATATTCTCCAACCACCTCACCTCTTGACATTGTGAAGGACATTGAAAAGGAGCTTCTTAAAGAATAACATACAATCCTATCCTGTAATAGTTGTGTCAACTGAGTTTGTGCAGTGCAACCTATTGCACTTTTCAATAATATGGTGCCCCTTTTTCTTCAACAAAGAGACTATCTGACAGCAGGAGAAGAAAACCAAAAATGCAAATGGTACACATTTCAATTACCTGCCAGAACATGGCTGCTTTTTTTTAAGTCAGCAATGATGCATCTTGAGGGTAATTCCTAGTTTGCATGTTATTAAGAATTGCACGATTTTTTTTTAACTTTTCTTTTATAAATTATTCAATTTTTACGCAACTTTCAAATGATGTGTAGTTGTGAGAAGTAAGAATTTTCAGCTTTAAGAAACTTCTTATTTCTTGCAACTACACATCATTTGAGAGTTAAGCAAAAGTTAAAGAATTTATTGAATAGAAGCTTAAAAAATGCACACTTCTCAATAACATGCAAACTATGGAGTACTCTTCAAGATGCATCAACCCTTTCACTCCTATGATCTCTTTATTTTCCTTACTGTCTGCCAGACATTGCTAATAATTTTAGTTTGGAGAATTTGGTATTGAATCAAATGATAATCTACTAATCGGAATTTCTATATTCTCATCACTTGTCTACTTGAGATTGTATTTATATTGTAAGGAGAAATTCTGTCTTGATCACCACCGGGAGTGAAAGGGTTAAGAAGGCATGCTCCTGAAATTTAATTGAAGGATGTCTATCCATTTTCATGTTTTGTTTTGTTTTCTTCTCCTGCTATCAGATGGCGTTTTTGTTATTTGATACATGCAGGTTATCATTTTCAGTATTTAAATTGTCTTGAACAGAGGACACTTTTGATGTAAAGGTTACGTTTAACAAATTGGCAGACTACTTTGAGAACTAGAATGAAGGAAACGTTGGTTGTGTGATTAACTTATTATTTTATAACAGCACCATACATTTGTTGCCAAAGTTTTCTTTTCATTGTTTAAACTCAACTGATGACAGTCTGTTCGTAAATTCTCTTATCGAGTTTGAGCAGAATTGAAGATTGCAAGTATGTGCAGATTGCTTGCAAGTTGAGGGCTACTTTGACAAGAATACAGGTCGAAATGTATACACGTGTGCAGTTGAACCCTATTTATGAGAGAGAATGAAAGGGCTGCTGTTGGAGAATATTTGATCAAATTAAAGAGACTACAAATCATGCTTCTGGAGAAATTTCTGTAGAGGATTTCTTTAAACTATATCTAGAAAAAGTTTTTCCCTTGAACCTATAGTTGGCGGGTCAACTCAGTTTTAGGAGAATTCACTGCCAAGTGTATAATTTTTGCCATTTCATTTTACACATATAGTTTTTTCTTCGAAATCACAAAGAATTAAGTATGTTTATAAAACTCCCACGTGCGGCCCCTATTTGTTTTTAAATGTGGTCTATCCTAAGAACGGCTTTCAATTTGTTTTAGTTATAGAAAGTTGTCGAGAATGTCGCATTGAAATTCGTGTTCTTTTGTTCCGTCCACAATCGGGGGGTTATAAAAGTGTTCGTTATCGTCTCAACGACGGAGTTTAAAAGCACTGCGCACTTTTATTGTTTCATCCACAGGTTTTTGATGTAGAAGAATGGCTTAGCAGGTAATGACAATCGAAAGAAACGAGGAATATTCTGTCACTGCGCTTGAAAAGATTTCCGTACAACCCCTTACTGTTCTTCAACAAAGCACTAATCCTAAGGCGAAACTATTGTTTTCGCCATTGTTTTGTTCATCAATCAATTGAATGCATAATGAATCGTGGGGTGACGCGGACATTTAGCCCGGGTCGTTTGGGTCACGCAATGACCTACTGTAATATATGCAATATGAAAAACAAGAACCAGGAAAGCTTGTTTTTGTAAAAAACGAAACGCACGAAAAACCCATAATTTCCAAAAATCAGCAAGGACATCTGTCGCATATCACTACTTGACCATTAACTCGACTATCTTTTAGCTAAACTTTGTTTAGACGTCATGGTGACATAATCTTGCTCGAATAACAATTTGAAAGGAAATAGTCATGCAATCTCCACGGTGCATACACGCATGCTTTTTTCGAACAAAAACCACCCTTTTTCTGCCTGCAGCTATTGTTATGTGTGTTACTGTTTTTCGTTCTGGAGCAACTGCAGAATATCCTGCCTCTATGGACCACTTCATTTCTATGTGCCGGGAGTCTTTGAAGAACGAGGCATAACTCCATAAAGTGGCGCTGGTGAGTAATTACTTGAAAGCAACAGAAAAGGATGATGTAATAAGCATCTTGAAGACCTATAGTTTTGAGAGCTCACTGGTTGCTTGGCTGGCGGTCAGTAATTGCCCGCTCAGATAATTTAAAAAAACGCCTTCGTGATAATAACCAGTGTTTTAACTCGCATTATCGGCCAAGTATCAAATGAGTCCAATAGAACTGTGCACGCGAGTCGTTTTATCCAGTGGTTTTTGATATTGGGGTATGTCATCGTAGCTACTGATATTCATAAGAAATGCAGTGACTGCAATATCATGTCAACATCATATTCATACAGATTATGCATTTAGCTGAGTGTTTTTCGTAATAAAAGCAGACTAAACCCTAAACGTAATGAAAGATAAACAAGTTCGTCCACAAATTTGACACGGTCGCTAAATCATTAGCAATCCTAAATTTCACCTCTAGTTTGTTACGTAACACCGCATCGTAACAGTGTTATTTTCAGCCAGGTAAGTTCGTTTATTAACCCTGTAACTCCGATGAGTGACCAAGACAGATAAAGAGTATTATAAATTAAAGAATATTTAATTGAACTTATATCAAGTTATTCAAACTAACATCATAGGAATTAACATAACTGCATCGATAGAATTTTATGGCAGATAATAATGATAATTGATGATAACATCTTGGGTGAAGTGGTTAATTGGGTCAATAACCTAATGTGTGAATTCAAGTGGCTCCTGGTAGCCCAGCCCCAGGGTAGAATTGTGTGCGCTTTGAAACGAGCAGCGATTTCGCGAGAGGTTTGGGTCGCGAAATAGGGGCTAGATCTCTGATAACCCGTAGCCATCATAGTTTACTGAAGATGTCGTACAACCACAGTCAACTGAAAACTGGTGGGATTAATGTCAGGGGAGGGGTGCATGCGCAATTGCTTAGATACTGCGAGTGATCCGAACATTTTAAAGGAAATGGCGCTCGTAATTTTAAATCGGCCTTGCGTTACACTCTCAGCAAATCTGAAATTACTCGCCTGCCCTCTCTCATCTATTATCATCGTTTAACAGGGTATGGATTTCTCTATTTCTTTACCGAGCCCAAAACTCACCATTTCTCACATTTCTGTTTACAGACATTACGCTATCGACATTGCTGATCCTAGTAGTATGCCAGACACGTGTCATATGAACTTCGTAATAGACCTTGCTCACCATGGAGTCTCTGGGGCTCATTGGTAGAGCATCGGAGCGCAGAACCCGAAGGTCCGGGGTTCGATTTCTCATGGGGACTCAGAATCTTTTCTTTTTCCCAAGCTCGTGACAAGACGACAACATCTTTCTCTAAGGTGTGGATTACTTATTTAACCCAAGCTCATCACCTAACAGAGATTCCGCCGACAAGTTGTGGCCAGAAATAAGGCGTAACTAGAGAGTGCAAATTGCGTTGCCTGGAACAGGAGATGAGGGCACGAGCTACAGAATGTTAACCGTACGAGAAATGTTGTTACTTGCTGATTGATTCGATGGGGCTATAACTAGTCATCGGTATAAGCATAGAGTTCAAATATGGCGAAAGTGTTTTAATCGAAAATTTACAAATACGAATTTCAGTCTACAAGCAGAAACTTTCCAAAATCAACTGAAAAATAGGAGTTTTTTTATGTTCTTTTGGCCTTATCTAAACACGGCCATATAAAACCTGTCTTTAATCTGAAATATGTCTGCCTTCGTAAAATATTTCTTTAAAAATCCAAAAAAGTTACAACCTAACGCTCTACCTTACACGCTCCATTTCCTAACTTTTACAAGGTTACAACCTTGTATGAATTCGATCATCTTTGAAGTCTTACTCATTAATGAAGACGTACGTAGCATTTCTATTACTTTCTGAGTGGTTCTTCGAAAAACTTCCCAAGACACAAAAGTCGATTAAACATCCATTTTCGTCAAAGTTGCCTTCCGTCGACAAGCCTCGAATTTGGGAGACTAAGCGACCACTCCTCACATCATCGATCACGTGAGGAGTGGTTGCTTGGTCTTTAGCTACGCTCCATTTCTAACTTTTCAAATTGTATATTTGCTTATCATTTCGCTTCCCAAACGTCTATTTCCCTCAGAAACAGCCACTCATTTTGATCATTGGTAACCAAAATTCGTAAACAATCAATCTTTTTGTTGAAAGTAGCTTGAGCTCTGCCATCTCTAAATGAGACAACTGTGTCAAACTTTCCACATGACGACGAGCTTGTACCAGAGACACTGAAGCTTGCTTGTAAGACACCAAACCTCAGAAAATCCTTCATAGCTAGATTTGAGCCAGTATCTACAAACACTTTGCTTGCATTAACGACAGAATTGAACTGTACAGTCACCTGGTCATCGCGCTTAACGTTTCTTCCCCAAAAGTATCCAGAGCCACCTTCGTAAGCATCTTGAGGTTTCCCTTTATTGGGTTTTATCGACGAGGAAACTTTTGCAGAGGGGTTTCTTCCCCAATATTTATGATCGTGTACATCAAAATATCTATCATAAGTAGCGTTAACCGGCCAACTCTTTTCTTTTAGAGATGACTTTACACCATGGTGTTGAAAAAAAGAAGCCACTGGTAAAATCAATTGTGCATTGTCAGGAACTTTAACTATACGCCAATGTCTTATTAGCCAATCGCCTGGCATTTCAGCGTACAAAAGATAGAAATAAGACGCTATACTCCTGAGATCCTCTGAGTGATAAACTTTTGCAGTATGACCCATGAAAGAGATGTCAAGTATTGGCCAAGCCTTTTTTTGAGATGAAATAAATCCTTGCAGCTTATGAAATACACTCGGGGATGCTTTGACGTCATCTTCGACGTGAAGGTAGAAGTTAGAAAGTTCGTGGCAATAACACATAAGAAATGCGAAATCTATGTTTTGTTTTGAACGCCAGTAGATTCTGGTCTTTGAATCTCCAAATTTCTTCTTTAGGTTCGTAAGCTGGGGGTAATATTTTGGCGATGTTTCGATTACATGCAAAATATCGTCTTCCACTTCTTTGTGAAAGAGCTTTGAAAGGTTGCTTATGGTAACCTGCTTCGCTCCTTTATCAAAGTCTGCGAGAAATACAACTATATATGTCTGCTTTCTGTTTTCGTCATTCATGTTGTCCAATAAACTTTGGATCGTTTCGGAAAGATAGTTTACTCCATTAGGTCTGGTTATTGTCGTTAAACCAATCGTCATGTGCTCTGAAAGTAAACGAGAGGGAACTCTTGAGTCAATTTGAAAGCTTTAGCTACCAAGATCCAATTTGTAGTCCTTCCTTGTAGCAGATATAAATTTCCATGAAAATCAGTTAAAAATCCTCTTGGTTGAATTGTGGCTTAAGTCGAAACTTGGCAAGAAACATTTTTGCGAGTTTTAGTGATACCAGCCTAAGAAGAAATAGTCTCTGAAATGGCAATTTTTGACACCAGCCAATTCCTGAAACCACCACTCATAGCAAAAAGCATCATTTTCAAATGAAAATACTGAAGACAATCTCCGAAAGTGATATTCTACGTTGTAAAAAAATTTGTATCAAATGGATTATTTAAGTCGACTGATCCTAACATATACGTACTTTTTGCAGAAGGATATCGCCCGAGTTTATTTACCCCTGAACTTCTCATGTATTCACTGCTGGGACAAAGAGAATGACTAGCTTTGTCAGGACTCCATAAATGCTCGCTTTCATTCACCACGGAACCGTTGATGTCACCAAGGTTTCTTGATTCTATCAAGAAAAATGGAAAGGAAATAACTAAATCAAATTCTGGGCTTTGCTATCGCGAATCCTTCACGGTACGCGCATCTTAGCAATGTCGTCCATCAAGCATACGCTCTGAGTAAGATACTGAAAAATAAATTAGTAAAGAGCTGATGCTACTGTGTTTCACTCAACTGGGGTGAGAATAGGTTTTTTGTGTGCGCGGAATCCCACCAACTACGACATCCGGCACTGCTTAAGATCGTCATTTTCCGTACACTCAATTACATCTATCATTAAACTTATCCTTCTTGCAATTCGATTTCAAGAAACGCCTTTGGGACATGCGTAGTAGAAACAAAATAACGGATGCAACACCAAGGTAACACAGAAATTGAAGCAATAAGTGTGGTTAGATTTAACGAACACAGCATCTTCAAATACCTCCAAATTATCCAGTGAAAAAGAAGGAAACGAAGGAAAAAAGACAGCCCGGCGAATAGCACTCATAGATTTTATATGAAAAATGACAAATTTTCTGCACGAAATTATGTGGAGAAAACTTGAGAAGGCATTAGCCTCCGTGATGGTTGAAAAAATAAAAAGTAAGGATGATACGTACCCTTTGTAGTAGGAAACGCACTGCTGGGATAGCGATGGTCAGCTTTGTTTTATAATGAACGAGGAAAAAATAAAAATAACAACAAGATAAGAAAACCGAACATTTATTTTTGTAAACAATATCGAGCAGCCCAACTGTGCTCGCCATTAGCAGGCTCAAACGACAACAAGAATACTTACACTCGTAGGAAGTCTGATTGGATTTGAGACAAACTTGACACGCGAGTACTGTGATTCTCAGAATACTGACCATCATTTCTATTATAATGTTTATTTGCCTCAACAATGAAATTGTCTTAAGAGAACTTTTTAGTTGCTCAGAGTATGGCGTCATAGTTACTCCAAAACGTTGGTTACTTACTGAGGCACTGCATCGCCAAATAGCCAAACATCTAGTTTTGTAGTTTTATAATAAGAGGGAGTGACAGCAGCAAAGAGAGAAGAGCAAAATTAAGTGGCGGTCTTAATCAAAATACGTACCCTTTTCAACAGGGACTTCAATGCTGGAAGGGAGATGTTTAGTTTGGTTTCCTATTGATGAAAAAAAGCACAACAAAACAAATAAACAAATAAAAATACAAACCAGTTCTATATTATGTGTTTTGACCAAGTGTGAAGTCAAAATGGCTTCTTTTTCCTTTTCTCGTTTTACTCGTGGATACGCGATAGCGTAGAAACGAGTTGTTGCGGGGCACTTTGGGATATGCAAATTGACGTGAACTCTTCGTAATTAGTCGTAATTAGTAGGCTCCGAACTCGAGATCTATCTATCCGGAGAAGTCCGAAGTCCTGGCGCCATCGTGATTGCATCGATCGTTGCGATATTGTCTTTACACGGCTGTTTCGACATTTACTAAATTGAGATTGACCTCGAATGTTCTGATTAGTGCTATGATTAACTTAAAGACCAACTTTAAAGTGTCTTCGAATCGGCCATGCGCTAAACATAACGACTAGTCACGAAGAGTTTGTGAGTGACAGAACAAGCTGTTAAGAATTTGAAATTGTTTTTTTGTTTTTTTTTTTGAGAATATTTTTAGCTTGTTTAATATATAAGATAGATGTTTTTTTTCTATCTTCAAATAAGCTGTTCAGATGGAAATTCCCACAGAAACATGTACCCATGACTTGAAAAAAAAAATGTTGATTTACAGCTTTATTTCTCTCAGCAGCTACGCCAATTTCGGTCTTTCCGTTATGGTCGTCTCGTTTTGTTGTTTTTCTATGCAAACGTGACTGTTTTGATGGTAAAAATAAAATATGATCGGTTTCTACAAGTCGTTGCCAAGCACGAGATGTTGTTTTGATCACTTGACGATCTTTTTCACTCAAAACACACTACGACTTCCTAATTCAAGGAATGCTTTTCCAATTAATTTCTATCGCAACCGTGTAAAAAAAATACAAGCATATGCGTGTACTGAAAAACAAAAGGGAAATTCAAAGCTACGAGAAATTGCGAGTAATCGGCCTCTTCTGCTTCAAGCGGGTTTTTGGTGTGACATGCGTGTGTTTACCATAAGTTACAAGGACTTTACGCATGTGGGAATGCTGCAACCACGGTAGAAGCAGTGCAAGGTGGAATGGCTATTGTCAGCCTGGAGTGATTATGCGCGATATTTTGCTTCATCACTCTTTGCCATTTCTACCACTTAAATATTAGTTCAGGGTTTCCATCGCATACTCAAGTACTATAATTTCTATAATTACAATGGTTCTACTTTCTATCTTTTTAACACCTTAGTTTACAGATAGCAACTTCACAAGTATATATCTCTTTAATACTTTATCCGTGAATTGGCCAAAGGTGCCCTTTGATTATGATTATAGACCAGATCAAAGTCGGGATCCATAAAAACACAAAAAAGAACGAGGCTAGGATCCAGCCATTTTGACCTCATGCTCGGTCATTATTGCATATCTGTTATGTAGCAGGCAGCGCCTGTGGGTAATATGAAGCGAATTCTGGATTCTGATGCCTATCACTGCCAGCCATGCGATAGGGATACTAATTGCATTCTCTACATGTTCAGTTAAGAATAGCTATTCACCAGGAATCATAAAATTTTATTTCCATCTTGGAAAAGTACATGTGAAATTATGACACTGATTCTTTTTTAGATTCCTGTGAATAACCTAACCTTTAAAATTTTCTCAAGTGTGATTGAGGCTATTTTGAATCTTGTTCAATTGACGACTCACCCACATATATATACATATGGCTTCAAATTCCCACTAAACGAATCACGTAGTACGAAGTAGTGGGTGCTTGAGAACTTTAGGAAGCTGCCAAATAAATTTGATGGCTGGGAAGTCAGTAAAGTGTGGCCAGGTTACTAGGTTACTTTCTAAGGTCTCCATTTTCTTTCATGTTTGGAAACATTTTTTCGAAATGTCAAGCTATAGTTGTCTAGAGTTTGCCATCTACCTTTTTAAATGACTACATACCTGTAAACCTTGGTATGATGTCATTTATGTGCAAACGAGTGTGAAGTTATTTGCTAGTGCTCTATTCACATTTAGTGGTATGATTTTTAGTAAACCATAATTCAATTATAAGAAATAGTGGTTTTGCAAAAATTACCAGCTGAAATGTTGTGAAACACACACTTATGTTAATTCATGGCTGCTAGCAAAAAGGCCACACAATGTTTTTAAGAAAGAGAGCCATTTGAATTAATATCGAGTATATGGAGGTTTGCAAAGTTTCCTGACAGACAATCGATTACACTGAGCATTGACTTGCATTAAAAAGAAAATTGTGATCAGGCCATCACAAACACTGATGCCAGCCCCCCCCCCCCCTCCCAAAAATTGGTTTCCCTTTTCCTAGGCTAATTTGAAATAGAGATTGGAGTTCATTTTTAACTTAAATTTAAAAATAAGAATTAAAACTAAACTTTTCGCACAAATCACACTCAAACTGCTATAATCAATGGGCCATTTTACAGTTGTGAACTTAGTTGCCAAGCCTTTGATTTGGAGTCAGAAGCTGAAGGTGACCTTGTTGTGATAGAGACCAGTATCTAGTTAACATGATAACAAAGTAATTTGCACTTGAAAAGCAGCAAGGTTTGTATCAAAACAAGGTCACCCAGAGCCTCACTCCTGTTCAATGGCTTGGCAACCAAGCAAATAACTGTAAAATGGACCATTACTCGCAGTTAACAATATGCTTATTCAAACCTTCACAATTGAAGATGCAAATTTCCATCTAAACGCACAATGACAGGCACTTTCTCGTGCAATTTTTGGCACAGAACAATTGTGTGGATTTATCAAACTTCACCCTCTGTGGAATAAGTAATCTTTGTTACACCCATTTTTAAATCACTGGTGGTCCCTGTAATCTGATTGGCTCTAATTGGTGGGATTTATTCACAAATTGCACCATTTTTTTTTTTTCAAATCATATCTTTTTCCCTGCCAATGAGGAGGCTACACTAAAAACAAAACAATCAATCAGATTTCTAGGCTTGTTTAAAGTAACCAATCAAACTGCAGGAAAATGAAAGACAAAGAGTATCATGTGGCAAATTTTGCAATTTTTGTTTCCAAAACTCTTATTTTTAATTTCAAATTGGCTCAGTACTGCATCAATAAAATATTTTAACTGACCAAGTCATGTATTTGGGCGATTTCAAACTGGATGTAATAAAGTGGTAATTGAACCTCGTGTCGTGCAATTTTGGTCTGAAATCATATTTGTGCTTACAAATCAAAATTGCTCTGCACGCTTCTTCGATTATGAATTCACGCGTATGATTTCAGCCCAAATTGCACTCCACTCAGTCCAATGATAAAATTTCCGCATAGCCCCATACTATTGTAAAACAAATCTGTTTTTTTTTGTCATCGTTTTCTCTATCCAAGAACTAAATGCATAACGTAGTATGGGGCTGTGAGGAAATTGTGACACTTTCAGACAAGGAATGTAGCCTTCTGATTAAACTTATTTGCTTAATATCATGTATCATTCATCCATAGTCTGGTAAAGTGCTCTCATCTACAAACTCATGGTATGCAGGACAAACTATTATCAAGCAATAAGGCCGGCTATTTTCGCTTTTCGATCTGGACTGCCGAATCCATTGCCTATAAACGATACATCAAGTTTGACGGTCAGTTCATTTGAAATTTCCCACCGAAGTGGCTCGATATTTCGATAACTTAACTGAATTAGAAACTAGTTTTCGCTTGGTTGCGGTAAACAAGTCATGAAAATCTTGGTTGCTACGTGGGTTTCACTGCACGGCGGAGGTCATTCTCTTGTTTGACCCGTGAATTTCTTTTATATCTAAGATCCATAGTCACTTACCGATCTTACAGTCGCATTTTTCTGTCTTACTCTCTCTCTGAGGTTGCATGTGTTGTTGTTGTCGTGTGCGTCCATATTGAATAAAATTTCCTATGAAAAACGTGCTCGCGATAATCAATACCAATACTCGTACAACAAACTTTCGCCGGTTGATTCGACGAAAACTTCGTCTCATTGTAAACATCTCTTTAGCTCTACTCTCCTTGACGCTCGAGTTTCAAGATAAAGACTTGCGCTTGCTGATGTTGAAATATCAATTAAGAGAGAACACCTGTGCGGTCTCGCTTCAACTGTTTTCCTTGCTTAGTCATGACATGCAAATATGTCCCTCTCTCTCTCTCCCAGGGGGATAAATTAATGATTTTTGTACGAGCATTTATATACTTATTTATACAGAATTAGAATACAGAATTAGATACAAGGTGAAAATGTAAGTAAAAAAAAATAAAAATTTTTCAAGGAAAGAAGACTTACAATACAAAATGACACCACTTAAATTAGGTCACATTAAATATAGGACGGAAGGAGAGGAGTTGGCACGTTTAAAGAAACAATCATTGAGCCCCTTAAGTTACGTCAGTATAACAAAAAAACTTGTAATTTTTAGTTGAAGGTAAAGGAAAACTTATAAAAATAGCTCAGTAAATTGTCAAAGAGATGACGTTTTATTAGTTTTGAGCAAGGTACCAGCGTAAAAGTGCTTTTCTAAACATCTTTTTACATGGTTTGTATCTGATTAATTGCGGAATACTATTCCAAAAGAATCTTCCAACAACGCTCGGGCAGAATTTCTTGAAATTAGTTCAAAATGAGGGTATGACTACTTGATAAGATGACGCATCGCGGGTATTGAAGTTGTAGCTCAGATACGAGTAAAGCAGGTATAGCAGGAAACTTTTCATTGTGGAAATGAATCATAAAAATACAAACATGCTTTCAGTTTAACAATATCAGGAAATTTCAAAAGACTTAGGGATACGTAGTGTAGAGTTATTTATCCATTAAAGGAACATCATTTATGATACGAACCGTTTTGTTTTGTAATTTTACGATTTGAGACAGTAGAACATTATACTTATTTCCCCATAGTGTACAAGGATATACAAGAGAATACTACAAACTAATAAGTGTTGCTTTTGAGACATGACGTTTTATCTTAACCATTATATTTATATTTTTGCTAAATATGTAGTCAATATGGTCACGGAATCGATCAGATCGCAAGATTTGAAAAATATTGCCTACTCACGTTCTGAGAAAAAAAAATCATTAATAATTACTGTAATTTCCGGCCAGTTACCCGCAGGTATTCTGTTAATTTTTCCACAAACAGTTGTTGGTACGGGTTATAGAAGATGCGGGTAATACGATAACTTTTAAGGCTTCCTGTATAGTTTTAAAACTTTAAGCAGGAAAAAACAGAGATGATAAGATCCACTATAGATACTCTTCAAAAAACCTGTGTGATAACTCATTTATTTCGCGCAGATTGCTCATCATAATAAGAGACTTTTATGCTCTCGATGAAAGCCGATGCAAATCGATCGCGAAAAGGTATCTGCAAAACTCGATAACAAAGCTTCTATCTTGTTCGTAATCTTTCTTTCTTACCTTGTCAATTAAACAGCTTGTTCCTTTGAATAAAGGGGTAAACTGGGTTGAAAACGTAAATTAGCCACCGTAAAGGGTAAAAAAGCTGACGTTTTTAACGATATCGCTCTGACGAACGGCTAACGCTCGAAACGTCAGCTTTTTTACCCTTTACGGAGGCTAATTTACGTTTTAACACTAAATTACCTGCTTGTTCCTTTGTTAAGTTCGAAAAACAATTCTCACTTATACGGGGAGTGAACTTGAAAATAAAAGAATTTAAGCTGGCTTCAAACGGAACATTCCATTATCTATTATCTTTTTAGTGTTTAAACATTTTTTATCTTTCACTCTTTGACTTGATAATGACGTTAGCCAAACGTCGAAAGGTCGTCAACATATTTTTGATATGCTTTTACGAAATGTTTTATCGCAATTTTTTATCGTTAAATGTTTTAAAAAACCGCGGTAAAATTTCCACACAGCCCCATACTGGTGTAATACAAATCTGTTTTCCCAACGATCGAAAATAAAATTCAACTTTGAATCGTTTTGAAACCCTATGTGACAAGTTGACGTCTCATGGGCCAATCCGACGCGAGCATTAGGCAAGACCTGTCACAAACCGCTCCTTTGTTTGTTTCGCTTTTCCCGCCTTAAAAGAAGTGCATCAAAAGTATTGGATGATAGATTAGCCGTTTTGGTGTGTAGTATTGCTTAGTATTTTTACTCGTTGTTTGTATTTTGACTCGCCCTATGGGCTCGTCAAAACACAGAAAAACTCGTAAAAATACTCAGCGATACTACATACGAAAACGCCTGAAGTGTCTGATAAGAAATATATATATATATATATGGGTTCACTGCGCGCTGTGAAAATATTAAGTTATCGAAACAATATTTCGATATTTATAAACACTAAACATCGATGATGAACAAAAAATAGTGGCTCGGTAGCAACTTCGATTGCACCTCCCTTGGAAATATAAGATGATTTTATAACAGAACTTTATCAAGAGGTAATGTTATTTTAGAAACAACGACAGCTCGGCACGATCGGAACTCTCAACACAAAATTTTAACCTTCAAACCTGCTAATTAATCTCATGATGCAAATATAGACTAGTAACTCGAAAGCTATTGAATCTGCTAAAGTGCAAATTTTGACTTTCGAAACTTCTCACGCAAACTACACGGATCGACTTTTCTTAATTAAATGACACAGAAAAATTTGGAGCTTTCCAGACATAACCGCCGACTGACAAATCTTAAATTGCAAAGTGTAAGTTAGGTCCCATTTTTCAAATCACGAAATTGAGAAAATTGGGACCAAACTTTTGAATATAAGCAAAACTTTACAAGGAGCTTTGAATATGCAATGTTTTCTGAGAATTTCATAAATTTTGAACCGCTAGCAAAAACTGATTTTAGAGAAAAGCAACTAGTGGAATGGAAACAATCTTTTTGGAAGAGATAACAAAAGTAATGTTAGAAACAAATAAATTGACAGAACGATTAAGATTTCAGGCCTTCTTTTCACTACTACTTAAGTAGTGTTAATTACTGCGAAGATCGCTTTTATATTCACGTCTTTAACCGCAGTTCAAATATATGACTTCCATATATTCACAACCGTTTATTCACCACTTCACGGGTTTATTTGGAACCAGCACAGTAGCCAGTTCCCAGTTCCCAGTTCCCAGTTCCCAGTTGGCTTGTTAGCTCAGTTGGTAGAGCACTGCACCGATATCGCATAGGTCATGGGTTTAAGTCCCGTACAGGCCTGAATTTTTTTCAGGCCTTCTCCTCACCACTACTTAAGTAGTGTTCATTACTGCGAAGATCGCTTTCATATTCACGTCTTTAACCGCAGTTCAAATATATGACTTCCATATATTCACAACCGTTCGATTAAATCATCTTGACTAACGTGAAACGTTTGTGACTACTCGGAAGTATGATCGGTAATTAATTGTACAGCAGCATTGAGTCGACGAGATGAAAAAGTTTCTGGTACAGATTTGCCAAAGTACAATGTACTCATCATATCGGCTCACCTACATGTGGCACATGTGGTTGTCAACAAGTAAAAATTGATGAGAGGCAACTTGTAAGCTTATTTTTGCTCAACAATTCAGTCCTCGCAGCCTAATCTGTCGGCCCGTTTCAAATTTTTTTGTCACATTGGTCTCATGAAGGAACAATTTTTCCAGATTTGAAGTTATATTCAGTTCTGAAAGTTTGGATATATAAGAAACCTTCTGGCCGAGGAAAGAAGCGTTTCTAGAGCCTTTGTCTTCCTCTCTGATGACGTTCCAGTCATGTTTAGTGAGTAAATGATTTTGTGAAGGCGTACGGCTGCGAAACTGCCTGAATTTTATTCGGCGACGAATTTTGCAATGATAATTTTGTATCTGGCTATGGGAATTTGCAATTTAGAGTTCATTGTTACTTACCAATGTTAGCAGCACGCTTGTTTGTGTCATCTCGGCTTTCTGATTGTTCAAACTGTCCTATTCGATCAAGAAGAAAGAAATGTGCAATCAGAATGGTGCCCACTATAAGTAACGTCAAAACTTTTGCTTTGAGCCTAAGTGTAATTTTTCTACAAATCCGTCTTAAAATGAACATTATCGATACTTTATCTTCGTAGACGCTCGTGTTTTATAATGTCTCTCTATATTGCCCAGCTCGAGTTGGACATTGATCGGCGCCCAAACTAACGTTTACATGCATTAAACCGCTATGGGTACATGGCGGGGTTTGGGCCAAGCCGGTTATATTTCTCGGTTGAAAGGATCGATGGTGCTGCGTCAGGTAAAGAGAAAATTGAAATGAAATGAACGAAATTCACAGAGCTTCGTGCAAGCATTTATTTGTGGTTCCATAAACAATGGATCAGTATTCCATCAGCTTGTTGCACAGCTGCATAGATTTTTCATAAAAGAACGAACAACAACAACTTCAAGCCACCCATAATGTACTTTGGTAGATTTTAACGGACAAGCCGCAAACTTCACCATTTAACTCTTTAACCCTTAAGACTTAGGAGTGATAAGGATATAATTTCTCCTCACTTTACCACCCATGTAACGATGATCGTTAAACAAGTTCTCCTCGTAAGTAGCTTAGAAAATGTTGAGAGGAAAGTAGGGAGAACTAGCATACTGATGCTAGGGAGTAAAGAGTTTCATGTAACCAAACGTCAAAGGAAAAAGTGACGTGTGTGGGTGCTATTCCTTTCACGGAAGGATCTGGATACGAGTCCATCGAACCAAATGTTTTGAAGAAATATGGAGACGATGCGCATGAGCAAAAGGTAGTCCTTGGGATCAGTCTTGTGAACGTAAGATCTGCCATCTTAATGAAGAGTAGGTTAACTGAAGACTTTTCTGAGGATTATACAACAGCAGGCGCGGTGGCTTGTATGGTATGGTCGCACGGTTACCAGGTTACTATTCTGAGTCACGCGCGAGTCACACGAACGAAAGAGGCACGAGACTTTAAACTCGGACTGAAGGGGAAAATTATGGCGGGTAGCGTCTTTTTCCGAGCGATATTGCTTCCGTCCTATTTTGGACGAAATCTGCGGACTTACTTTGGATGTACAATCATATAAATGAACTTCCTGTATCGGTGTTCAAGTTTCTTAATTTGTCAAGTTTGGCGAGTTTGTTATGCAGAAAGTAATCGACCAAAATTTTTTTCAATACGCTTTTTTTCAATTGAGGCTTAAAGATCGTAGAAAAGATATGATAGTAAAAACCAGAGGCGCAGCCTAGTGGTTTCTCGGAAATTAAGGGAAATGATGAGAATTACAAAACGTAGCAGTCTTCAAATATGCCGGCGAGGCATTGTTAATGCGAAATAGGGCTACAAAAATCCGGAAATTTTTAAGGATTTTTAGAATCAAACGGGATATCCAGAAAATTTGAGAATTTCTAGAACATTTATGGATTTTTTTAGACAGTAATGTTTAGAAAAATACAACCAATAGCATGAAAACAAATTTATGCGGTTCAAAGAAGCTTCTTGTTCTGAGTGCCAAGCGGGTTCAGCAGTTGCTGTCATTGTTCGTTTGAAAGAGACGCTTGTAAGGAGACAAAACGCTTAGATATTGTCATGTAAACGAATGATTTTTTTGAGTCCGTTTGAAGGTGCAATTTCACCTTAGGAATCTAGCATTTTATGAGAGAGTACGTGATTATTTACATTCTTGGCCGCTTTGTTCATCTCTACTTTAAATTGCGCTTCCTTTCCTCGTGAAAAAGAGCGGAGACCAGAGTCCATCTATTTCAGGTTATGTTTTCTTTGTTCCTGTCACATGTTGTTTACTTTAGTTCATTAACATATTTTAATGGTACTGGTAGTGGAATTAACAGTTTTCTTCATGATACTGAATGAAGTTGAACCCTCGAGAAAGCGTAGCTCTCGCTGACTACGCTAAATTAAGGAATTGTTGTGATAATTTTTTGAGACAATTTTATTTGAGGTTATTGGGACTTTAGGGGTTAAACTGCAAGGTACTTTAAGGTAAAATGATAGGATTGTACTTTCTTTCGGTTACCTTGGTTAATTTGAATAAAAGCTGATACAGTTTGATCGATGAAAATCATTAAAGAACAAAACAACCACAATGGCTTAGATCAGTTCTGCAATCGAAGTTCCAAAGCGCCAATGAGAACCAAAATTAGAGATGAAGGTAAAGTACACTACACACAGGTACACTTATACCCCGGTGTAACCACACTTGTTTCCAATAAGCATTTGTGGTCGAAATAATGTTGAGCATATTATGTGTAAGGAGCCGTATTTGAAATGAAATTTAACAACAACAACAATTCAACAATTTTATAACCCATTTCGCAGACACACTTATTTTCGTTGTTTCTCTCAGAATAAGGAAGGATGTAAATCACAAAATTACAACATGTCGTCAGGAATATTAATGCTAAAAACATCTTGTAAATTCGCCGCAACACAAACCGCCCGGTGCGCATCGTTAACTATCGTTAGAAATGTACGGTGCAGCACAACAAGACTTCCTTCTTCACACGACCTAAGCAACAAATAGCCAGCTGCCAGGTCACACAACAAGCTTACCGTGCAATGCTTGTGTGACTAAACAAACATATTTCTGTAACTGGGACAGTGACTTATCTTGTGTTTCCCTCGCCTTAAAACTTGAGTTCAAATGGGGTAATTTCACTCTTATTGTCCTGATTTATCGCTACTTGAAGTGAGATCATGAACATTTATGATTCCTTTTATGAGGGGGGCATTGGGGCCTATTAGAAACCGCAAAACCGTAGAAAAAATCATCCAAAACCGAAAAATCGAAAAAATTCTATCAAAATCGAAAACCGCACGCAAAACTGTCAAAACCGATACATTTTCACATCCCTGTTATTAAAACCCTTATCGATCCGATGCAGTGGTGACAAGTGGAGCATAACTACACTAATTTCATCACAGTATCTGTGAATGCCATGGACTTGGCATTCGTATCTTCTAGTATCTGCTTAAATTATAGGCTTTATTTCAGCTGCCCTCTCGAGGACCTCGAGCGTGGTCTCTGCGGACTCAGCAGCTGGTAATGGAGCCCAGTTAAATTAAGGAAATTCGCATTTAAGTCCTCCATAAGATTGCAATTTTGCGGTCGCAAAAAGCTATAGCTCTGGAACGTTTCATCGAAAATCCCTGATCTAACATTTCCATTTGCGAACTAAGACCTAAAAGTTTAAAGATTCTATTGGAATGTTTAATCAGTCAGTCACGTGTGGCCTGTAACAGACTGTAACTTGGTCACCAACTTCGAAGTGGCGTTGATAAAGAAACTCTAGCAATGTTCCGTGCTTAGCCATTATTGTTTCTTGTCACACTGTCCTTTGTCTTACTGCTGCACCATATTCGTCGTTAAAGACGCGTGAACCCCTACGGATGGACAAAGTCTTGGGCGTCATTCGAGACGCGTGAGCCCCCTAGCCCGCGTACACATCAACCTTGACACACGACCGTTGAAAACCAGCTTGGTGGCCCCACCTCCTTTTTAAACTGCGCCTCGCCGGGGACAACACCGTAACTTGGCACTATACTAAACACTACCTTGGACCATTACGTAATCAAATGAAACGTGAACCAAAATGTCTGCTTGTAAAGTTCTTTAAGTCTTTTACTACTGAGGTAATAAAAATATATAATTGGCTTGCTCTCTCATTCCATTTCGTGAGATGGTTGATTATACATGGGACCAGGGAGAGTAAGATTTCAGTGGGAGGTGGAGGTTTCGTTCGATTCTCGTATTTCATGTACGTTACATGTTGTCGTCTCGCCTTATTTTAGACATTTATGCCTTGTTTTAGATGGTGTTAGATAGTTTGCGAGTGGCTGTAGATTTTTTTGAGGTGGTTGTAGGTGGTTTTAGGTGGTTTTAGGTCGTTCCATGGTTTAGTATTTACGCTGTCGTGTGTCAAGGTTGATGTGTACGCGGGCTGTTAGACACCTCTAAACTGGAAATTTTTGAAGCAAACTGCGGCTTTAGCGTCGGTTGCACGAGGAAGATTGAGTTTGTAGTGAATTGAAATGAAACTACAGTATATGTACTTGGATTCTGCGTTGGATTTTTGGCCGCCCAGTCATTTTGAGCTGGGATTTTTCGCTTCTCGGATCGGGCGTTCGGAAATGGAGTGTTCAGCCTCGGGCTTTTCTTATGTACGTTGAAAACCTCGAAATGGACAACTCGCTAAAATGGGATCTTTTCATCGAAGTAAGCGGTCAGATAACAAGTGATACGCTGTGGAAGTAAGGTGAGGTATTTTTTATTGAGAATCTGACCTATTTTTTAATTCATTAGAGCGGTCGTAAATATTACCATACAAACTCTTATAATTCCGCCATGACTGTTATTGCACAAGATGATCATCTCACAACTGGAGCTTGGGTTGCCTGTGAGTGGAGGCGCGTAATTGCCGCTCAGATCGAAGAGAAACCGGAACCCAAATAGGTCAAATAGGAAAAACCGAAAACCGCATCGGATATCAAATCCGAAAACCCGTTAGTATTTTTCGCGAAAACCGAAAACCAAATGCTTAAAAAACAGAAAATCCGCAAACTGCAATGAACACCAAAACCGCATAACCGAAAAATCTCAATGCCTCCGCATTTATCGAATTTCTTCTTCTCCTGCTTTACAATTTACGGGAGAAACTTCCATCATCTAAGAAAAAAGCTTGACCAATTATCGACATTTTTAATAGGTATTCTGACAAAAGTATATCAGTCAGAGGATCTCAGAAGTATTGCATCTTATTTATTTTGGATGTACGTAGAAATTAATGGACATTGGTAATGATGCATACTGCGTTAGACAAATTAAATGTACAAACTTGCAATTTTATAGTGGAATGATATTCAGGTATTGGAATTGAGAGTGAAATAATGACCTTTCCTATTCTGCCGTGATGACATTTTATCAAATAATGTCAAAAGAATACGCAAACTATAAAGGCTCAGTACACTACAGTGTTCAAGTTAGACTGGTCAGCGACAGAGAAAACGGAACGAAAAGGCAAAAACGAAACAACATTCAATTGCTGAACCAGACAGAAACTTTATTTGAAGTCGCTAATCATATTTCATTTGTTTTTCCAATTTATCTAAAAAAATTAAAGACATGTTAGATTTTCATTTACGTGCGTCATGCTGTGATTCAAGCTTGTTACCAGGGTCCTCTCTCTTTCCCTCTCGAGAGAGGATTACAATTAGTCTCGTATTTCATGGTCTGACTTATAATATGCTAGAGCATTACTGGTCATGTGGTATATTTTCAATGCAGCTGCTATCATTCTTGAGAGAACAGCTAACCGACTGCATTGGTTTTGAGAGAAAACTGCGTTATGAACTTCTTTAAGAAAAAGGCCGAGCAAAACAAAAGAAAACAAATGCTAACAACTTACAGCAAAATACATTTTTGTAGGTGAATTATCATCACTGCGAAGTTGGCCGGCCGAAAGTTTTCTTCATAACACATGTGACAACCACGAGCATAACATTGTAAATATGCATACAAGAAGACGAATTTTGCGACAAATGAATTCGAAGTTTATAGATAAATTGATAATAATATTTATAGCAAGCAGTGTTTTCATGGGAAATTACTATCTATATGTGGGACACTACAGCGAACAACTTCAGAAGGACGAGAAACACAAGTGCGTTTGTAGCAGAGGTAAGTAACCATAGGAAAGCTCGGATCTAGGAAAGCTCAGCGAGAGAATAACATTTTGACAAGGAAGGGCAACTGATTTTTATTCCGCCATACTGACAAAAACCGGCATAACAAAAGCAATACACATCTACCGCTAATATCAAACAATCCTATGACTACCTCGTTAGTTGGAAAAGAATTCAATCGTGCCGGTAGAGCAGTTGAATAAAAAGAAATTTCCCTTACTTTTACTTTCACATGTTAAATATGCCAAATAGTTAGTGTTTTTTTCAGTTTCCGTTTCCGCACGAGACTTCGAAACGCTGGTTTGAAAACCAGCTTTTCCACTGCGGAATATTCAAACGAAAGCAGTTAACAGACTTTCGATGCTCAAATTAATAACTTCGAGCCTCAATAGCTTGGTTTTTTTAAGTACTATTTCAGTTTTAATAACAAATCCCTGACTTTGTCAACTTTAAAAGAAGTGCCAGACTTCGAGACTAATCTCGAACGCTGGTGAGATTACGAGGTGAGATGAAAGTTTACGAGATACATAATTGTTCAAGGAACCACTCGCCATTTCTTTCCTCCCTCAGACCTAATTGCCTCTTTGTGTATTTTTTTTAATCCTCAGAAACAAAGATACTCTTGTTAAGGTATTGACAATTAGCATAAGTTGGTTTAGCACGGCGCGGAAACTTTTTTGTATTTTGATAGACGTAAGCGAAAGTAATTACACTTACATGTAAAACATTTTTGAAGACGGGAACGAGATTCAGCTTTCGAGGTTTTACAGAGAAGTCGTTTGCTATAAGACTGCAATGCATTTTGCGATTTATCCGTTACCGCTTATTAAAAATTAAATTCGCAAAGCGGTTTAAAAAAGCTCGTTATATTGGTGTTTAGTTTACATGAGAAAGGTTTCATTCATAATTTAACATCCCAGAAGCCTAAATCTTAAATTTGCATATTGTTAACGTTTCGGATAATATTCCCCCTTGGGAAAAAGCACTATATTTCCTCCGGGAACTACAAGTAAACAGTTGCTTTGGATTTCATTCGAAATGACTCACATTCCAAAAGGCTAAGTGGGAAAGTTTTCAGTCTCAATGGCTTCAAAACGTATAAATATCGACAAAAATCATCCTTCAAACATGGAAGCGTGAACCTTTTGACATTGATGAAAAAGGATATTGATTGTCAGATAAAAAATTTAAAAAGTTAACAGACTGAGATGATAGTGAGGTGAACTTCTTTCATTGTTTCTTAATTTTCGCTCTGGAAAAATGCCCAAAAGGAATCAAAGCTATTCGCAGTAATAGAGTGCGGTTGGGGAAGAGGGGAGGGAAGAGACAGTACAGTGGTAAGGGTACTATGAATAACATTAGGAACTTTTAACTCTCTTGATTTATGGAATTGTGTCAAAATCTTTAGAAAGTATCATTCGTTTCTCGCCCACGAGTTTATAGCTTGCTAAGCAAAGATTAATCATAGCAATGAAAGTCGGTAACTATGTTAATCATTTTTTTTTTCTTTTTTTCTCCGTTAATATAGAAAACAAAAATGATCCCGTCCTGTCAAGCGCACTAGTTCCTGCAGTTACACAAAGTAGGTATCGTTTTAACTTCATTTTTTACCCAAAAAACATCTCCATGATAGATAACGCCTAACCAAGAATTTCTAGAAGATGAAGGCACTAGACAGGAGTATCGAAACGTTGGGTCTATGAATCGTAACTTCTTCGGTTACATTCATTAAATCTGCAAACCAGAGTGGCGTCAAACTATGTCTGATTGTCCACCTGGTTGCCGTGTGAACTTTAATATACTTTCTAGATATGTTTTCAATAACGTTTCCTGGCTCATAGTATGACTCTTGAATACGTGGTCTAAAATCCGTCTTTGATAGATGACTTGAGCAGAGGTGTGACGTGACAAAGTCTACTTTCCTGGAATATCAGGCGCGCAGCTGCTCTGAACTCTTTGTAATTTATGTGAATAGACTTCAGAAACTCCAAACTTGTTGGCAAGCACGTGCACAATGAGGAGCTGAATAAAAAATAGAGCGTGCTAAGCAAAGATGTATCATAGCGATACAAGTCGGTAATTAAGTTAACCATTTTTTTCTGTTTTCTTCATTAAATCAGAAGAGGACAAAAATGATCCCAGCCTGCCAAGCACACTAGTTCCTTCAGTTACAAAAAGTTGGTATCCTTTTAGCCTCACTTTTTACTTACAAACCATCTCGAAGATGAATAATGTCCAACCAAGATTTTCTCGATATGTTCTCAACAATTTTTCCTGGCTAGCATGACGCATGATTGCGTGGCTAAAAATCCTTTTTCATTAGATTGCTAGACCGCTAACATGTCGAATTTGCAAAGGGAGCTTTTTGCACGATGCTCCTTTTGTTTCTTTGAAATTCTGAGAGATATTTGTTGAGTCTCTTGACGGAGAGGTATTATCCCGTCATGGCAGCAGAGAAATATATTTCTTTTTATTCGAAAAGTTTTCCTTTTCATTATAACATTTAATTGCTATAATTGCAGTTTGAATTTTTTGTTCTAAAATTGATTAACACCCTCCGATTTCATATTCTGATAGATGTTTATGTGAAATCATAAAGCCCTTGAATTTTCTTTTGCATTAGTGGTCACTATGCATTTAGAAAAGAACTCTCTGATTTGAGCCGTCTCTATTGCAACACATAGAAACGCTAAGAGCTTGGTTAGTTTTTTCTTTTTTTCACCCGCATTTGAGCTTACATTGTTACAATAGAGATGTACAGTAGCTAAGCGTGGAAACCGATTTGAATAGTTACTCTGATTTCTCCTCAATTACAGAGACAAGAGAATTCCGAAATCTGAACTGTTCTGTGATTAACTCAACCCAGAGTTTATGGGCCACGGATAAAACGGGTGATCATCTTTGCCCAAGCAGTGAATATCTAAGAAGTTCAGCTGTGAATATGCTTGGGCGATATCCTTGTAAACAAAGTACGTTATATGCCAAGATCAGTTGGATGCAATTTTCAATTTTATTTTAAAGATTTTACTTTCTCATAGGGTTGTTCGTCTATCCCCAGGATGGTGCTCGTTTATCTGTCCGCGGGAGGTTGGGAGAACACTCGATAAGCTGGAAACCACTTCGCTTCGCGTCGTGGTTTCCTACGCTTATCTCGTGTTCTCCCAACCTCCCGCGTGTTTACATCAGGCTATGTAAACACGGAAACCATTTTACATTTCTTCAGTAAATGACTGAAAATCTAAGATGTGGCGAGGAAAAGTGTAGAGAAACCAAGAGTCTGGTGCGAGCTACAGGTTCCTCATATTTTACAAAATAAATAAATATTACTTCATGTTAAAAAGGAAGGAACCCACACTTATAAAACAACAACAACAATAGCAGGCGCTAAAACAAAATTATACTTAAGCAGCTTGGGAGAAGAGAGAAAAAAAAGCAATAAGGGAGTTAACTTAGTAGTAATGGTGGCAATTTAGACTTAAACAGGGAAAGTGTGCCAACAATTTGGATATCTATATTCAGAGAATTGAAAAATTTAGCTCCTTTAATTCAGGTTATGAACTCATTCTCTAAAAACTTCGCCCCACAGCAAAAATTGGCTTCCAGACAACTGAATCAACGCTTGTGTGACCTTGATAAAGTGCAATGTTCTGTTTACTAATTTTGAAGGAAATTTATAGTAGTCAGAAGGGAGAACTATAAATCAGTTGGATCTGTAGAGTCAATGCTTTCACCCTTACCCAGGCATACTCACTCTTTTTTAGGGCACATGGCTATTGGGTTGACGACGGTAACTCGGCCTGACGGTGTAGAATATCTTCCCCAAACGATCCAAAGTTTACTGGACAACATGAATGACGATCACCGAAAGCAAACATTTATAGTTGTATTCCTCGCAGATTTCGAAGAGCAAAAGAAGCAGGACACAATAAAGAAACTGTCAAAGCTCTTTGACAAAGAAATCAGAGAAGATCTTTTGCATGTAATTAAAACATCGCCAAAATATTATCCCCGGCTAACGAGCCTCAGGCAGAAATTTGGTGATTCTCTGACAAGAATTTACTGGCGTTCAAAACAGAACATAGATTTTGCCTTTCTGATGTGTTATTGTTATGAACTTTCTAGCTACTACCTGCATGTCGAAGATGACGTCAAAGCATCTCCGAGTGTATTTCAGAAGATCCAAGAGTTCATTTCATCTCAAAAAAAGGCTTGGCCAATGTTGGATATTTCTAGGATGGGTCACACTGCAAAAGTTTATCAGTCAGAGGATCTCAGGAGCATTGCATCTTATTTTTATCTCATGTATGACGAAATGCCCGGTGATTGGTTGATGATGCACTGGCGAAAGGTCATGGTACCTGACAATGCAGAATATATACTGCCAGCGGCTTCTTTTTTTCAACATCTTGGTGCCCGTTCTTCGCTCAAAGAAAAGAGCCGTTTAAAAAATTCGATTTACATGGATAAATACTTTGACGAGCACGATCAAAAATACAGCGGAATGAACCCTTCAGCAGAAGTTTCTTCGTCCATCCCATCGAAAGAAGGGAATCCTCAAGATGCGTACCGAAGTGGACTTGGACACTTCTGGGGAAAAAACATTAAGTGCGATGACCATGTAACTATAAAGTTTAATTCCTCCGTCACTGTTAGAAAAGTGTTTGTGGATACTGGGTCAAATCTAGCCATGAAAGATTTTCTGAGGTCTGGTGTTTTGCAGGCAAGCTTCAGTGTCTCTGGCACAAACTCGTCGTCATGTGGAAAGTTTGACACAGTTGTCCCATTTAAAGATGGCAGAGCTCAAGTTACTTTTACAAACAAAAAGATTGATTGTTTACGAATTTTGGTTACCAAGAATCAAAATGAGAGGCTCTTTCTGAGGGAAATAGACGTTTGGGAAGAGAAACAGTAAAGAAATGTACGATCTGAATGGCCGTTGTATAGCTCGTGAATGAAATGTGGAGCAACTCGAAGACAAATTCCACATCTATGCACGTTTATTTATTATTCGCTATGTGAAACACCTCTTCATTAAGTTAAATTCTCTTAAGCTAGCTGAGTGGTAGAACACTGTTCTGACCTTGAGATCCAAACGTTTCAAGTTCCCAAGCTCATAACAATCACTTACAACTTTCAGTTTGATTCAAAGACGTTTTTACTCTACTGAATACTACGACTTGCTATCAATTTACTTATTTTTTCTCAATTTGGAAAAATTTTTATTATTTGATACATTTTGATATATTTGTTAAACTTTGAATTCCTTTGATTGATCAAGTTGCATCTTGGGCACCACGAAGTTTTGATGAAACATGCAATAATAATGTCTGCCCAAATAATTTATGCGCTTCATTGTAAACCTTTTATGATGCAAAAACTAAGCTAATACTTACTTGACAATGAGATCCGACGGTGTCGAAACGTCGTAAGTTTCTTTCGCTGATTTTTGTGTTGAAATATTCCCTCAGGCCTTAACGATTCAATTTTATTTAAATAACGGAAACTCCTGAAATGAGTTCTATCCATCCCTAATAAAGGTTAAGGAACTAGCCCTGTAACCGACTACTCCGTCTAGCCGAACTAGTATTTACACTCAATTGCTTTTCATTCTGTGGTAACTACTACAAAAAGGTAATGGCGTAGCCATTAGTTTGTTTGAAAATAGGTCCCAGCTACGCAAATCTTTTCGTAACTTTTTTCGAACACCAATTTCTTAGTCAATACCACGGCCCCAAACCTGAACTCTACAGCCACTACATTGACGACTGCATCGGCGCTACCTCCTCTACTAGAGAGGAGCTCATTCAATTTATAACTGCCGTCAATTCCTTTCACCGGCTCTTAAATATACCTGGGAAATTTCCGACACTTCTTTTGCTTTTCTAGACATCAAAAGTTATTTTGAAATTAACAGCTTTCGCACTAGTGTTAATACTACAAACCTACAGATTCATACAGTTACTTGCTGTATTCATCTTCGCATCCATCACACGTCAAGAATTCCATATCTTTTTCACAGTTTCTCAGACTTCGTCTTTTATGTAGTGACGACTCCGGTCACTTTACGTGCACCTCCGCCAATGTCATTTATTGCGTAATTTGCACCTATTGCAAAAAGTTATACATTGGTGAAACAGGAAGACGACTAGGTGACCAATTCCGAGAACACCTCCGCGACGTAGAAAGAAACGACAAGGACGCATCCAAACCAGTCGCTAGACACTTTAATCTCCCTTATCATTCTAAACAGCTTATGGCAGTTTGCGGCCTTTCCCTACATCTAGGCAGTTCGGAAAGCCGCAAACTCTAGAACAAAAATTTATCTTCCAAATCGGCACTCTAAATCCTCATAGTATCAACGAACGCTTTTAATTGAACTAATTTATTCTTGTTTTATCGTGACCATATTCCCATCAACAGCGTAGCTCCATTTTTGCATATAAACACACACACAACCCAAAATTCCTCCAATCGCTCTGAGAAAGGGCTAACGCTCAAAACGTCAGCCCTTAAACTCTTCACGGTGGCCAATTTACGTTTTCAACTCAGTTGATAACACAAAATTACCCTGTTCATCCCCAATATACTTGTGTTTTAATTTCCAGGAATTATCTCAATTTATGCAAGGAGAAGAAATTTTTTTGCAACTTGCCTTTTAGCTGTTTACAATAGTTCCAAGGCAGTCCACTGGGAAATTGCACGTACACAAGCAATCAAACATTAAAAAACTCCAAGAGAAATTCTATGTATATCTACGCGCGCCCATACATACTATAATTTTTTTCTATATTATTAGATTAAAATTAGAGAGTTGGTAAGTTTGAGCTCGGTAAAGAAAGAGGAAAGATCTTTTCGTCTTTTCACGAGCGTGGGATGAAAAAAATATTCTGAGTTCCCTTGAGGAATCGAACCTCAGACCTTCGCATTCCGCGCTCTAATGCTCTACCACTGAGCCACAGATACTATACTAGAGCATTGGATCGCGGAATCTGAAGGGCTAAGGTTCGATTCCTCATGGGCACTTAGAATCCTTTCTTTGTCCTACGCTCTTGACAAGACGAAAAACATCTTTCTCTATTTCTTTACCGAGCTCAAACTTACCATTTCTCTTATTCTTTTTACAACATGACGCTATCGACATTGCTGATCCAAGCAGTACACAGAACGCGCGTCATATGAACTTCGTAATAAACTTTGCTCGCTGTAGAGTCTCTGTGGCTCAGTGATAGAGCACCGAAGCGCGGAATCCGAAGGTCTGAGGTTCGATTCCTCACGGGAACTCAGAATCGTTTCTTTAACCCTCGCTCGTGATAAGACGCAAACATCTTTCTCATTAGAGAATGTTTTTTTTTTCGTCTTGTCACGAGCGTGGGACAAAGAAAAAATTCTCAGTTCCCGTGAGGAATCGAACCTCAGACCTTCGGATTCCGCGCTCCGATGCTCAATCACTGAGCCACAGAGACTCCACGGTGAGCGAGGTCTGTTACGAAGTTCATATGACACGCGTCCTGCATACTGCCTTGGATCAGCAATGTCGATAGCACAATATTTGTAGATAGTAATCAGAGAGATGGTAAGTTCTGAGCTCGGATTAATTTCACTTGTGTTTTCAAAGTTTTCCTTCGCGACTCGGGCAATTTTGGGTAAACTTTGAAAATAATAATGAAATTAAGGATGATTGCGATTACTGGTTTATCACATAAAGGGCAAGTTTCTTTTAAAGGAATGGCATTGTCGCACGATGTCCGCGCGATGGAACCCACAAATGTCAAAACAAGCGAAACTGACCAATATATTTAATAAATATTTTATCCTCAAAATACAATTAACAACGCTACACGGCTTCATTCAGTGAAATTGCAATCAATAAATTGTTGCCGCAAACAGCACTTTTCAGAAGAAAATTTTCTTCAAACTCCGCCTTCGAAAAGATGTACTTATTTACTGTCTTTTTTCCTTCAGCCGCAAAGTAAAAATTGTCACCTTTCTCGAAAACGCACAAGAAAACGTAGTAATTTGTTTAAAAGGAGTCTTTCTCTCTTCATGCAAAGACAGTAATCAGAAAAAAAATAAAATTGAATATTTTGATTATTCTTCTAATACATTAATAGTAATAATAATAATATGATAATGTGACTCAAAATACTCTTTTATTACTAAATACATGTGGGTTTTTTGACACAACGGGATATGAAATTGCGTCTCGTTTTAAATAATAATGATGAATCGATTGTTCTAAAAGCCTTTCTATTTATAGGAGAAGAGTTAAAAGATGCCTTTTGAGTAGTTTGGGTTTCTATGGAGGCTCAGTCAACTCATTATGTCGAGGTCAACCAATCAATCAATTTGAGTCTTTAAGGGTGCAAATCGAGACGGAGAGCAAGGAAGTCGTTTAAAAGAGAAAGGCTTACCTCTCGTTCATTTTCCGGTGTACTAGTTTAGTCTATGACAGCATTCTTGAAACTATTGACTGATCTTATTCTCCGATAGGACTTGGAAGAGTATTTCATAGCTTCGGGGCGGCCGAATAAAAGAACAATCCACGTGGGTAGCGAGCAACTTGCACGTGCTATGTTCAAGGTGCAAACCCTTGTTGGAACTTAGATGATATTATCAAGTGGCGACTCTCACAGAAATGAGAACTTTTAAGTAAGCTGGAATTTACAATGTCAACCTCGAAAGGAATTTGCAAAATGTGAAAAAACCACACGATGTTTTGCACACAACTAATGCAATGACTCGAGCCGAGGTGTGATGTGACAAAATCTGCTTTCCTGGAATATCAGGCGAGAAGCTGCGCTGAACTCTCTGTAATTCATGTAGATGGATAAACTTGTTGGCAAGCACGTGCACAATGAGTATCTGAATTTTTAAAAATTGAAATAATTCTTTATTATATTTGTCAATAGTCACTTAAAAATAGTGTGAAGCCTTTCAGTAGGGGCTCAATAAATATTCGCAAACAAGCTTCACTTTGCTAAGTTACCAAAAAATTCAAAGAAGTCCATAATCACCTGTTATTATGATGAATTCAATTCTATTTCAGCGGGGAACTAGAAACTGTATGTAGACAAAAGGCAAGTTCACGTCGAATACTTTGAAACATTTAAACAGATTTAAAGAAATAACGGATCACCATTGAGTGTCCCGTCTGTATCCTCTTTTTTCTTATATCATTTAAAACTACAGCATAATGAATAAGTTCGCTAGCTCTAATTAGGGAATGCTATTATGCTTTTCTTTTCGTTTTCTTCGCCTCAGTCATGACTCAAAATCCAATGTATTGCTGTTTTTCTTGTGAAGTTTTTGCACGTTTGATTTCATGTCTTCGTGCAATTTCTTTACAAGCAGTGGAAAACGGTTTCCTTTTAATTTGTCTTAACTTTAAGCCAATTTCTAAACGATATTTTATTTATCCAAAAAATATATCTTTATCAGCATCTTACATCAATATTTTGCTTTTTAAAACATGTTGCTTTAGTTACAGTTTTTGTCCTAATTGTGTTTGCATTCTTCAGCGCAAGGCTTTATCACCAAAGAGCCTGCATGAAAACTTCATAAGAAGCAAGTGTGTTCCTTGAATTTCATTGCAATCTTTTCATCGAAGGATTACCTTTGCATTCAGCTAATAGGTAAGTTACAGAAAGATCTATTTGCTGCATAAATTAAGATTATTCTTGGAAATGAAACATAGGCTCAAATACAACGATATATCGGTCGCTTTATATTATTCATGTCTTTTAAAGTAACATTCGACGTATATGCATCCTGATGAATATACGAAGTCGCAATATTCGAAAATAGCATGAGGAACTTTGGCCCCTGAAAAACTCGCAGCATGCATTCTATAGAGGAGCTATATTTCTGTCATCCATGTAGAGAATTACATCAACGCTTGTAGTCGTTAGGTGTATATGCTGTTCCTAAACCTGTTGATTATAAGTTAAAGGTTCACCTAATATTTAATACTTCATCTAAGCGCGAAAACACAATAAATCTTGGATATTGGAATCACTTGGCGCGATCTCATCATGGAGGCCGAAGTCTTCAATCGATCGGCTGAGCTTCTTAGAGTTACGGGATCCAATCTCGACCCCAAAAAGTACTGGTATGTGCTAACGAAAAGTTAATGTGAAATAAGGCCGAATGCTTTTGCAAAGAACGAGTTGTTTCGTCAATTCTTTGATGACTTCAATACGTTCTGTCCCGCCAGAGCAGGTCTCAAGCGCGCCAACAAAGGCTGTTCGTTCAACGCCAGATAACCAAACAACATGTATGCTGCATGTTCATTTGATCTCTGTGCCGGACTAATTAGATAGCGACAATTTTTAGCAGATGGATTCGTGAGGTCTCAAAATATAATCCTGTTGTTGACGCGGTAAATCAGATCGCTCTCGACCGTACACTTTAGGCGGGAAATGCCCTGAGTCGAATAATCACGGGGAACCGCAAAGATGTCAGTCAAGAATAGCAGAGCTTGACAACGACATTCAGGAACTAGTAAAGGATAATAATTATATAAGTTAACGGTGGATGCCTCAAATTTCAGTCTAAAGAAAGAGTCCAGACAAAGAGCGGTCTCCTGATATGAATTAGTGTGCATTCAATTTTTTGTGCCCTCTTGGGTAGTGTATACCTGAGGGTTACTTTTAATCTCTCCTATACCCTTTTGGGTAGTGTATACCTGAGGGTTACTTTTAATCTCTCCTATACCCTCTCAGGTAGTGTATACCTGAGGGTTATTTTAAATCTCTTCTATACCCTCTCAGGTAGTGTATACCTGAGGGTTACTTTTAATCTCTTCTATACCCTCTTGGGTAGTGTATACCTGAGGGTTACTTTTAATCTCTTCTATACCCTCTTGGGTAGTGTATACCTGAGGGTTACTTTTAATCTCTTCTATACCCTCTTGGGTAGTGTATACCTGAGGGTTACTTTTAATCTCTTCTATTCCCTCTTGGGTAGTGTATAACCTTCGCGCTTAAAGGTCATTACAAGAATAGTTGCATTGCGCAGAAGCAGAACAGGGAGACTGCCAGTTGAAAGTTAGGTATATTCTCTGAATTTTCTAATCAACACAGTTTCTGGACTTTCAAAGTTCAAAACCATGACCTGTATAAAGAAGGGTTTGTCGCAGTTAGCCCTAAATAGGCCCTGCCTTCGATCATGGAGATGAAATCAGCTTTAGCGGTGCATACTTAAAATTACGAAAGATACATACTCAAAATGCCGAAAGACACAAAAGGTTGGCCATGATTAGTATGTTTATTCTAAAAATCAAATTTGCATGATATATTCTACAGGTTTTTTTTTTTTTTATCATTATTTTAAGTCACCTTTCCGGATAATTATCGTCATTGGATATTGATCCTGGCAGTTTTTTCCTTATCGCTTATTTTGCTCTCAAAAATTACATTTTAATCATGCATTTAATACTGTAATTTAAGGGAGTCAAAATTAAGCACGCACTCCTTTGATTTGAAGAAGCCCTTGATCAGAAATGGTCTCCTAATATGACCGTTTTAGAGGGTAAAATAACATGAATAATAGGTAGTTCATAAGTACTTTAGAGCACTTTCAACAAAGGGGCAATTGTCAGCTAAATAATTTGGCATTAAATCGCTTTTTCTTCACTTTTCTCTGGGATTGGCCCGGTTAAGCATGAATATAGCCAATTTTTATCTTATCTAATCTTGCGATTGGATCGGTCGACGTAACTACATTTGCGATGCTTTTATTTTTCCTTGACTCGCGGTAATTGTTTTGGGTTTTAATTTAATGACTTTCAGAAGGAAAGGGCCCTAATTCTGAAACGAAAGTGTCGAGAAGGCAAACAAGGGGTATAAAGTAATATAAATAGGTGTCATTTATACAATTCAGCAGAGAGGAAAATGAAGGCCATCGTTCAGCTGTTCCTTCTTCTGGTTATCGCCACCCTTGTCACTGGAAAGAACATTCCAAAAACAGCCGATGATCTTGGGCTTCCTGTGGATGATTCTGATTCAGATTCACTCCCCGCGGAAGTCGAAAACGATCCTGACAGAGCCTCTTTTGACACAACATTGACTGACCTTGATTTTCCGTATGACGAGGAGAATGATCCTGGCAGCGCATGATCAGGTAGTTTGTGGTAGGAGGTAGGACTTATTGGATGCCGTTTTTTATTTATTTATTCTCTTTTCAGACCTTAATCGTTTTGAGGGTTTTAGAATAGGGAAAATTACAGTAACTCGTGGACATACAGCGATCTCACTAAAAAGCTAATGATCCTTTCATTTTAAAGAACAGAACCCAGCCGTAAACCCCAAAAAATCCCTCCCCCAGTGGGCAATGGATCCCCCCGTATTTTACCATCAGTCTGCCACCTTTAATGAAATGCATGCTCTCCCCAGACTCTCATTCGAGGCGAAATAGGGGATTGATTTCAGGGGCTTATGTTTTACTTGTGGAGAATCTGGTATTGATCTGTAATTCAACATCCCAAATTGGGAACATTGCAGAGGGCCATCTTGTTCTACAATATTGGGAACATTGCAGAGGGCCATCTTGTTCTACAATATTGGGAACATTGCAGAGGGCCATCTTGTTCTACAATATTGCCTACAATTTTTCAAGAAAACCTTAACACGATGGGCTAATGAACCGAATAGTGCTTACCAGGGATTTGCTAACCTTTTAAGAGAAAGAAATCGGGGGAAATTGGACCAAAAGATTGAAATACAGTCATTGCAAGAACTCCCGAGAAAACAAAATTTGGCATCTATCCGTGCTACAACAAAGTGAAAGGTCTCTTCCTGCATATCAGCAGCCAATAAACAAAGAGCTTGTAAAACTCAAAATGTAGGGCAAGTTATAGAATTTTTTAAAAGACCACGGAATGATGGTTTAAAAATCGTGGAAAAACCAAAGGTGAAAGTATCGTTCAGGAATATTTGTAGGAAACAACCCAAAAAACCCTAAGTTATTAATTTTTTGTTACTTTCCAGGAGAATGCAAAGAGCCAAGGATCTGGGGATCTATAACATCCGAAAATTTTTGGCATCTGAGGGAAAAAGTTTATAGAAAAAACCCTGAAGCAAGAATTTGTCAATATGCGAATATGTCAACCTAAACGGTTAAGAATAAATGGGAAAAAAAATTACAATTTTGATGGTTCATTGTTTTTTTTTCGACCTTTAATCGTTACCTTTACTCTTCAATGTCCAAAATTAAATGTGCTCACGTTATCTAGAGTATTAGGCTATGGTTTATTATCATCATTAGTGTTACTACTATTATGATTATAGTATCCTATCATCCTGATAAGGAGAGTCCATCTTTACAGCTTCCCTCAACCTGCAATAAAATGAATGCAAAAGCATTCAAAATAATTCCACCAGTAAGTTTTGTCCTATTTTCAGCTAACAATCTTTCTAAAGGAAGAGTCATATGTTCAGGGAGTTTTCACCTTCACCTCAGTCACACATGGCTAATATCACGGAAAAAGCAGCAACGACAACAACAACAACAACAACAACAGAAACAACAACAATGAGAAGACGACGAAATTCACAACTAAAACCTACCAAAACATTTGAAATAGGTTCCCACCTAACTGCAAGTGCCACATGTTTTGGGGCACCAGTAATTTTTGATGTGATCCTGGTCGCAGCTGTCTGTCCAATAACGGCAATTTGAATCCAAGTCTGCACAATCTGTCGAGTTTAATGCTTTTTATCGTAACGAATTCATTAAATTTGAAATTACAAGAAAATGTCAACGTTGGACAGTATGTAACTTCTTCTCAAATTCACTTTTTCCCAAAAGTTTTTCTCAGCCTACCACAAGCTTAGTGTGTGAGTCAGTTTTGTACTGCTCTTTTTCAGGCCATGTTTTACATGGTGACTGCTGTAGCATTGCTGTTTTTTGCATAGAGGGAAAATGTTTACGACTCACTTGAATTGCCACCACCACTATCACCACCACCTACAAGTAAATTGAACAAATATGAGACATGTTCCGTAATTCTCAACCTCCTCGGTTTCACCGCTGGAACTTCTTATGTTCACTGATAAGAAATGGACAGATTCGATTAAAAAAAAGCTAACGCAGACGTGTTGCTCTAGTGATAGTCTAAGTAATTTTACAACAACAACCATTCCTTTTACGAATGGATGATATTTTCAGTTGATTTCAAAATTGCTATTGTTTCCACGTTCTTACTTAACTATTACGAACAATTATTGGATGAGGTTTAGTGATATCCAAAATAATCAAGGTTGAGGTAGGTGTTATCAGTCAAAGCCGAATGCTGAGGCTGATAAGTCTTACCGAGACCTTGATTATTGTGGATATCACAAAAACCGAATCTAATAATTGTATTATTATACATAGACACGCCAATGAGTGGAACTGACAATTTATTTCTAAACGGGTAAAAATATATAAGTCATCGGCACATGATTCGATTGACAAAAAAGTCTAAGCATTAGACAATATGCGAAAAAATTGAATAAAGGCTGGTTGAGAAAGTAAATAGCAATAAATAAGCTTAACTGAAAAAAAGACATTACGATTGTAAAAAGCCAAATTCCACTATTTTTTCGATGTCTTGCTCGGTCAACGAAGCAAACCTAGAAATCATGTTTTTGCTTCTTCACTGACGGCAAGCAACATAAAGCGCGCGAACTTAACATGATTACCCTCACCCTGAATCACGCACCGCGGTCGTAAATGACGTGATTACCCGTGACCTTGAGTGACCCTCACATGATTATTGTATAATCTGCAGCTAGATGACATCCCAGGCGCTGATTTCGAAAATTCATTGTACGCTTGAATTTCCGCCAAACAGAAAAGAGATAGTGAGTTGAGTGAACAATAATGCACATCTTTGTACCATATATGCCAATCTTACGGACTTCGTTTACCCCACTGTAATCAGCCCTCCAAGTGACATGAAAGGGTCTTCTTTCTCAAGAAATATTTGTAGTTTGTGCATTATAACCACAACAAAAGTATTGGGTGTTTTTGAGGATTAAAGATAGTAGAGCAAAATTCCATTTCTTACCCATTTTGCCTTTTACCCAGTCCACGTAAGATCCAACTCGTGCGTACACGGAGTACGTCATCGTGGGACAAGCCTTGCTGGTAACCCACGAAGTAACACCACGCAGTACCCATTTTCCATTTTCCTCGCATACTAGAGGCCCACCGCTGTCCCCATTACACACACTGCTTCCAGAGGCACCTGCACATACCATGGAGGTCTCATGAACGTAGTAACCGTTTTTCCTGTAGCACGTGTCGTGATCGACAACGGGTAAGGAGGTCTGTTGTAGTTCGTAAGCTGCTTGGTTAGATTGACCACTTATTCGGCCCCATCCTGGGTAAAGAGACCAAAATAATGACAAAATGATTTCCCAGTAAAAAGTTTTCGTATCGTTTCCTTCAATAATCAAAACTGGTTGCTAGCCATTAAACTCGAAAAGCGACTAACGTAGGAACTGATCATCCGAGAGCCTTATGTGCTAGACAGAAGAATGGCCAAAAAGTTAACAGGAACAGAGGGATGGACCGATAGAGTGATGGATGGAAAGAGGGAACTTTAGGTTATAACAACAACTGAGAAATTGAGCCATTATCCGAGTTAAACTAAGAGGTTGACCTCGACTTACCGGATGTCCAGCAATGAGCACCGATTTTAGCACGTGACCCTTGAGCAGGCATACACACCTTACCAACAGTGGGACCAAGTTTCACCTTAGAGCTCAGCTTGAGGACTGTAATGTCATTTTGTAGGTGGGACATGGAGAATCTCTCATGTTTGAAGATGCGAGAAACTTGGTATTCAACTCCATCGCCGTACCTTTTGTGAGCACCTGATTAGAAAAGAATATTTAACTGTCAGTATATCACATTTTAAGACGTGAAGGCGTGAAAGTTTAGACACAAGGAAATTGAAATTTGTTGTCAAAAGTGAGAAAGAATCAGATAGACCTAGAAACTTACAGAATAGTTTACCTACCAGCCACAATTTTGTAGGAACTTGGTCGAGAGTCATGATTCACACAATGAGCAGCAGTTATTGCATACTCTTCGCTGATCAAAGAAGCGCCACAAATGTGTCCACCTGAGTATCGAAGAGACAACTGCCACGGCCAAGAACCGTGGACTGCAGTTGTTCCGCCAACAATGCGAGATTGGCTTGGTCTTTGACCACAAGAGGCTGGAGTATGGAAAAGCGACAGATGTAGAAAAGGTTAAAAAAAACTGAAGTATTTAGGCTTAAGTGAAAATCGAGCTATTGATGTTAAGGCTTCTTTATATAAAGTAATTTTGTGACTTAAAATGATTTGTAAATCGAAATTGGGAAATCAGTAAAAGGATGCAACTTGAGCTGAACTAGTCTGCTAGACTACCAATGAAAACTAGAACTCTGTCCTTGTCTTTTTACCTCAAATAAGACTTAAAACTGTTGATCAAGGAAACTCAGTAAGAATTTGAATCTGCCATTTGGGTGATTAAAAACGATCTTCTAAGAAAGCTACTCTAAGATAAGAGTTAAAAGTCCGAAGAGCGTTTAGCCTCTTTTTCGCAAAAATTATATCCTCTTAGATTGAGTTTGATTTGAGATAAGGGGTTGAATAGATATACATCTGATATCGTACCTTCACTCAGCAGGGGTCCAAAGAATAAGAAAAAGGCCAGTGAATACACGTACATTTTTGTTACGCTGTTAAGGCACGGTCTACTTCAAAGTGCTAGAACCTCTTTACTTTATAGATATTTCTTATTATAGCAGCTTTCAGATGGTGCGCGTAAATCTTTTCATCTGACAAAGACTTTTTGAATGCTGAATTCTGTGTTTGCTTTCATCCTTTTATTTTACAGGAGTGTCTGGTTAAGCGTAAATAAACATGATAACCAGACAAAGAAAGTACTTGGATTATTTTTTTTTAACGGCAAAAATGTCGAATTTTGAGAAATGAGGTGTTTCTCTTTAGCATCTTGGAAATTATAAGATAAATTGTACAATTGACAACACATGGAAAAAAAACTCGGTGAGTTGCATTGGGCTTGAGAAAAATTAAACAAGAAATAAAATCTTTTCAGCTGGTGTTCACCGAAAATTCAGCGTAAACTGAAAAATACAGCCAGAATCGGCTACTATCACAAATTGTATTTAAATATCAGAAAGTGGTTACTCAGCTGTAGAATGTCTCAATTTATAGACTACTCAATAATTTTGTTATCAGTAGTCTTCAAGTTTTTCGCGATTTCAATTCGAAAGTATTTTCAAACAATTTCTAGCGGAAATAGATGGGAACTGCTCTAACACCTATCATTTGATTTGCGCTTCTGTGTGTAAAATAACGTGCAAAGCTTAATTGTGGAATTTCGTTCTTTCTTCAAAAACACTTTTGAAAGGGTGTTTTTTCAGTGAGAACTGTATTTGCAGAGAATGAGCTATCGCATGATAATTTTGCAACACGAAGCCATTGAAAAATATTAACAATCTCGATTGTGTCAATACTTCAATTTCTTTTGTTTTTTTTATGCATTCTGGTTGGTGAAATAAAGGGAGTAAGTTTTTAAAGAAACTGTGGTGTTATGTCGGCGGGTGAGTATAGCAGGGTAATCTACTATATTAGCAACCGAGTTTATGACGTAAATTGGCCGTTGTAAAGAGTTTCAAAGCTGACGTTTCGAGTGTTAGCCCTTCGTCAAAGCGGTTGGCAAAGTACTCGCGGTTAAAGTCACACATTCACTTCTTTGCCTTGGGGTGTTCCTTTGTTGAGTTTCCGAACAAAAGAACGTGTTACTTTGGTACAGAAAAGTCAATAAAGGGCAGCATCAATGGTGAGGTCTTTTATCACGTTGATAGTACAGATCATATTCTCTTGATCCTGTTCAAAGATGGATTTGCACAGTTGAAAGTATTGTTCTAACACCACAGAGTGTGTTTTTTTTTATTCAATCAAGCGGATAAAGAGATTTGGAGACAAGGCTTTAACCTAACACCCATGATATTTTTATAATGTCGAGCAATTAAAAAAGTGATGCAATAAATTTATCATCTTACATTTTAAGGCTTTTAAAAGCCGTATGTAAGAGAGAAAAATCAATAACAATTATGACAAATCGTAAGGTCATTGGTATCCAACAAACTTATATTCAGTTAGGCGGTGGATAAGATATTTCTTATTATAGCAGCTTTCAGATGGTGCGCCTAAATCTTTTCATCTGACAAAGACTTTTTGAATGCTGAATTCTATGTTTGCTTTCATCCTTTCCTTTTACTGGAGTGTCTGGTTAAGCGTAAATAAACATGATAACCAGACAAAGAAAGTACTTGGATTATTTTCCGAACAAAAGAACGTGTTACTTTGGTACAGCAAAGTCAATAAAAGGCATCATCAATGGTGAGGTCCTTTATCACGTCGATAGTACAGATCATATTCTCTTGATCCTGTTCAAAGATGGATTTGTTTTTTTTACTCCATCATGCGGAGTCAAGCGATTAAAAACGTAATGCACTAAATTTATCATCTTACACTTTAAGGCTTTTAAAAGCCGTATGTAAAAAAAGGAAAAATCAATAATAATTACGACAAATCATAAAGTCATTGGTATCCAACAAACTCAGATTCAGTTAGGCGATGGGCTAACTTTCGAAACGTAAGCTTTGAAACTCTTTACGGTGGCCGATTTACGTTATCAACTCAGTTGATAATACTAAATTACCCTGTTACACTCCCCCACCGACGCAGCACCACAGTTTCTTTAGAAACTTACCCCCTTTATTCAGATTCATGTAGGCGTTTCTGTGTCATGCAGTCAGTGTCCCGATCCAGTGCTCACGTTATCTGGCCCAGTCGTTTTACTGATGTTGTCCTCATGTTCCCGTTTTCCTAAAACTCATGATAGAAGAATAGAGAAATATGTAGATATCTCTTATGAATAGGAGTTTTAACCATGATAGATGAGTCACATCTTAAACAGTTGTTGCGTTTTCATGATCGTATTCAGTTCAGATTTATCATCACGAATTACTCTATTGTTGTTTCTCGCATGACAGTGTTTTGGACCGCTCTTTTCCCTATTTTTGAAATTCACAACTCCTTAGACATAGAACGAGCCGACAAGTACTAAGATCAAAAGGAGACATCAAGAGGAAGAAAGGTATCTTTGGCTGGGGTTTATGACAAAATAGCATTATCATTCAAATTAAGGTCGGTAAGTTTTACAACAACGAGCGGACAGTCACTCTTATATCAAAGTCGATCTTGATGATGTTCTTTGTTTATCATTGGCGGATTGTTTAGACAACATAGCTTACATGTTTTAGCCTTACTCTAAATTTACTATACGAGACGTGATCGATTTTATTTTAACCGCTGAATTGTTTATTAAACTAGGGTTTGTACTGTTGTTAGTATTCCGTGAAAGGCAAAAAGCTTAAACCATTTAACAGTCTCTCGTCATTTGAGCAGAGGGAGCAAAACGAGAAGGGCAGACACATTTTTTCCTTTGGTATATCAGCATTCTTAACTTTCCTTAACCATTTCTTTCAGCAACACAGCGAATTTCAACGAAACGCTCTGTCCAGATAAAGTGTCTTGCCTAGCCGACGTGCAAAGCAAAATTAAGAAACGGTGCATTAGAGCCGTCAACCAAAACAAAGCGTGTCTGAGTGTAAGCTAAACTCGAATTATACATATTGTGTGATAGACATGTACAAAAGAAGCTCTACACCACGAACTTGCATCGATTGAATTCATAAATATACAAAAAAAATATATTTATTGACGCAGAAGATGTATTTTGTCCCGCTGGAACATTTTCCAATTAGTTTTTACCAACCTAGCGGGACAGATTTGACCTCCTAAAGAAGGTGTGATGACTTAAAACTAATGAAATTTTGCATTATGTGACCATGTCATTTTTTCTTGATGAGAGACTCCAATTCTTATAGATTGCGTCATTACACGCTAAACTAGACATTCAGTTTTCCTTACACCTTTTAACATCATTCTTTATCAGGGTGAACTGAGTAAAAAAAGACTCAGTTGGGGTTAATACCTAGAGATTTCTACATAAATGATAAGATGCTGACGAAGAATAACAAACACAACCCTTGAAAGGCCTTGTGTGTCTGTATAATGAACGATCAGTATAGGTAATCACATGATTTCAAGTGCAATTTGGAATAAATAAGCACGAAGAGTTTGCAACAAAATTTGCAATTTGTTGGCTTTGAAAAAATTTACAAGTGCAAATTTATTCCAAATTGCTCGAGAAAACTAATGCGATTTCGTATCAATAATATACATGAAAAAAAACGAAATAGCCTATTATAATTATGCAGAAGCAAAGCGTGCGCATCAAGTGCAAAAATGATTTATTAAAACCCTGCAAGTGACATTGTGCGTTCGGTCAAAACAACCGCGGACGATTAAAACAATAACACACAATGATATTTTCACATCTTTGAGGCGCAAGAAAGTTCAAAGTCCGGCTAAACAGTTCAAGGAATGGTTCAGTCTGGTTTGTTACTATTTTTGCACTGCATTTACCTTAACCAATCAGAACTGAGTAACTTTCTCATGTAGTTTATCAGAAAAGAAAAATAAACGAAAAGATAAAAAAAGGAAAAAAAGGACAGAAAAAAATCTTAAATGCGATCTTTTCCTTTCTCCAAAGTATTTTTACCCAAATTTGATTAATAAGTAACAACTACACTCGCGTGGCAACCAATGTTTAAAAATTCTTCGCTGATTACCCACGAGGACTCACGCGTTGATTTTGTATAGTATGTAAACTTTAAATTATTAAGCGCAATGAAGCCCCTTTTGCCTCTTTTGGGCAAACAAAATATATTCCAGGTACGGTTTGGATTGCGGCTACCGAGTGGATCAAAAGCACGATGAAGGAAAACTATGCGAGATTTTCTCTCAGAATCATTGAGACTATTTGAACATGTTGTTATACTCCTTCATCTGGATTTTAATTCAGCCCAGTGCGTCCTGTAATTTATCAAAATGCACTGAAACATCTTCGGTCCAAAGATACCGTTTGGAGGGACATGTGCTAATTGAACGACGCGCTGAGACTATGCTAGAATGCGCGCAGTTCTGCAACCAAACCCAAGAGTGCTTGAGCGTTAACTACAAGTTGCTGGGTCAAATCTGCGAGCTGAATAGAGCAGATGTCCACATTGCTCCTCACAACTACCTCCCAGCCAGAGGTTACGTTTACCTTGATAATCCTTGGCCCAAAGTCAAAATGGTAGGAGCTAGTACTTTACTTCTTCGATTACCAAATAAAAATCTTAATTTCCAGAAGCATTCAACACAAATCATTATTGTTATGCATAAAAAAGGAGGTAAACTTAGATCACAAAATAATTTTTTCATCAACGAATTGTTGAACTATAAAAAGTCGCGACACCTGAAAAAGCAAAAATAAACGCGAACAAAATAGATTCAATCTGCAAACGTTTATCTTAACCGTTTAGCGGTAAATTTCAGTGCATAACTTTAAAAGTGTAGTTTTTAAGCCAATCCCGTAATCGAAATACTAGTTTACCCGCCAACGTTGTAGCATTACTCAATGCTCTATTCCATAGTGAAAGATTTTCTACTGGCGTTTAGTGCTAGGTTACGCTCGACACTCCTCTCCTTTTACGAAATTTCGAAACGGCCTATTCTGTCCCGTGTTTTCTTTAGCAATCCATGCTGTCTTGCCTCAGAAATTTGGGGCGAAGGGGGTAGAAATATTATTACCCGGTAAATACATATGTAATTTATATCTTTGCTGTTTGTCCTTTCAATTGATGATTTCAGAAATCTTGCGCCAGTATTAAGGATATTGTCTCTAACGCGGAGTCAGGCTACTATTGTATTGAACTCTTTCAAGAGAAGAAGGAAGTTTTCTGTGACATGATTAATTTTGGTATGAACCCAACAGTTCACAAATTAATTTAAAAAATAATTAAAAAGTTTTCTTCGACTAGAGCTTTTTCACTTTCCTTATGATTTCCAGATGTTCTCGAAAAGTCTGTAATTCGTAACTATTGTATTTCTCTTCACAACCGTTGCTATTCCTATTCATTACTGTTACCATGGTCGCGAAAGTGGCCGATTGGTCTTCATTCCTATCACTGGGGTCAATTTAATATGCGAAACACGGACATCGCACGACTTTTAAGATATTCACATGAATATAACATAAAGTTTGCACAAAGTTTAAACAGGTATTACGTGCTCATCATAGAATGACGCTCGCATGAAGTTTTGTCCCCCAAAATATTATGTACTCTTTACTGCTCAAGAGTTTGGTTTGTTTCATTTCTGTTCGACTTTATTGTGAGGTGGAGGTTGGACACTTGTTGCAAGTATCTCGTCTTCAAACAATAACCATCTGCTGAGGACGGAAGTAAACTGCCTTCTCCCAAACCGATGCGTCGAGAACGTTTCCTCAGATATACCAACCAGAAAAATGTCTGATAAAGACATCCATGCTATTGCAACTACTGAAGGTAAGATAAACGAACAAAAGCAAGGAGCTTTACAGTTTTACGAAACCAAGATCTTTGCAAGCATCTGTTCTTTTCTACTATTCTTTTTGATTTCAATGGTGAAATTATTTTCTTTTCATAAATTCTCTCTTACCAGGGACATTTCGAGTTGATCAGGTATCGAATGGTTTCACAGCCTTCTTTAAGGTAAAATTATTATTTTTTGGTTTCTAACGATCCATTGTCAACTTCCAACAACAGAAAGGGTTAAGTTTGACTCCAACTGCCCGGGTACGAGTCCTGCTGCATCATCAGGTCACTGAGTTTTGCCGTAAGTTAAAATGTCTCTCCACCTAGGACTGATGAAGGCATGGGTACTAAGTCAAACTGTCGGGATACTCCTTGACACGTGATGCTATTGAAGCATTTTCAAATGCTTAATTACAAATTCCTTGTTGTTACAGATACCTATTGGAGCGCATCTGTTTAACTCTGAATGCTTCGGAGCAAGGTACTTGTATAATGGTGTCAATTATACGATTCGAAGAAAATCCCCTTTAAAACAAAACGCGTACGAAAATAAGATTATAAATGCTTAAGCAACATATCAGTTCAAGGAGAATTTTGAACGAGATTTACGAACGAAGAAATGCATCGATATAATAGGCAGGTGAAGTAAACTAATATCATTCCCGGACATTAAAAATAAGGAGAAAAAAATGCAAATTGGTATAGTACGAGTACTAGCCGTGAGATTATAAAAGTGAGTTTGTTTTGTTTCACAATACAGCATTATTTTGCTTGTTTGTTTGTTTATCTTCTCATGCCATTAGCGCTATGGCCGATAACCTCCTTGCATAGAACAATCCTATACCAACCAGAACCCTGGTACCTCTCTTAAATGCAACATAATTTCTTATCATTTTTGTTTCAGTTGTCCTCGTATAATTGTGTCTCATTCATATCCCTACCAGTGGGAATCGAACTGCAAGGGGACGGAGCTTGGCTATCAGGTCACTGATACTCCTAACCGTTGCTATAGAGGTAAACATTTATGAGTAAGTGCAAGTAATTTCATCAGGATTGCTGCATAATTGGCAATGTAAGGTATCAAATTTTAAACATCACCTTATTACGTTGCTTCTCCAACTTTGAAATTAGCAGCTTTAACTAAATAATTTCTGATGGTGAACACTTCAGGTATTTGCACGTTTCCCCCAGGAGTTTTATATTGTGCGATATTCTATTTTTTTCTCGTATCCCAGTGTTCGATATGCACGACAACGGTGAATGTGGTCACACTTGGCGCTCTACGAAATATGGTGAGCTCCAATCTATCGTTTTGTACTCAATTATCTTAAATAGCTATGCTCATTCATTTTTCCACAGTTACGATGTTAATGGTACATCTCAGTTATGTTTTTCAATTTTTTGTAGATATTATGGTTTTCTTAATCTTATGTCTCTTGTGTTATGACGATGTTTGGCTATCATATTCACAATGATCATGAGTATGTCGTTGTCGTCATTATCAGTGGTAATCATTCCTTTTATGATGATTGCTATTTTATAATTCTCATCAAACGTTTTGTTGCTTTAGGTACAAATCGAGTGCTGTATGGATTCCCCTGTAGCAGTTTCAGTGGCATTTACAAAAATAAACAAGGTCTTCTTTTTGTAAAATAGACTATATTCATCGTAGAAACTGAAGAACGTAATACTTAGATGCATGAAGAACGAGTTACGAGCGAAATTCTGGATCAGACTTCATTAGGAAGCTTACATGAGGTGCGGATAACCAACATAGGAAAGCTAGCTATGGAAACCGCCGCATGGCTGTGCACCTGTATAAGAAACTAGAGGAGATCCCGCATGTCATTATTCCGATTATTTTTACTTGATGTTAATGCGCTCTTTTTGTAATTCGAAGTAGAAAATTCAACCACATGTTGTGGTAACTTTGGTAGAAAAGAATTTGTTTTGGTGGGGTGTTTACTTATTCATATTCAACTTGCTCTAAAGGGAATAATTTCTTTTTGGCAGAGTAAGAGTGGCCAAATTTCGCTGTTAATGTCTTAGTTCTTGTTTAAGTAGTGGCCGATGTTTCAGTCAAATACTTGAACTTGCAAATTGCATTCATCACGAGCTTATGTAGCTAAGCCTTTTAAAAATTCACAATAAAAATGATACCTCCAGCGTTATATCATTTTAACTTTATTGATCTAATTCCATTGCTATGCTCAGAAGTATACAATTGTAAATTCAATCAGCTATAACTTCAATTTTTCTCGGTCAGTTGTCACGATCTCCATTTCCCTAGAGTCAGGATTGTTCTAAAACAAAATGCAATCGTATGAATGCGAATTGTGACAAAAAACAAAACAAAAAAAAACAAAAAACATGATTATATCAAAATCCAGAAGTCCATAATAATTAGTCAAAACCCAAAATATTGGTCAGTTTGTATTGCTCTGATACTTACACGCGCAGAATCCACACGACTTTTGGCATTTTGTATAAACTTCGGGAGTGTGACAGAAGACCAAATAACCCTGGCAACTTTGGGACGGTACTGCATCCTTGCAGTCTGAAAAAGATTGAGTTAAAATGTGAAATAAAATTCTGCGAGGGAATGCGCACGCAAAAATGACAAGCAATATGCTATTTTGAGTTGTAGCTTGCGAGGTTACCGATGGAATCAGGAGAAGGGTAAGCCAAGAAAAAAACAAAACTAAACAAGACAACATGAAAATAACAAATTAGATAAATGTCTCAACATTCTTTAGAAACAGCCTTTACCTTTTCCATCATCTCCATCGCCGGCACCTTGAAAGTGAAATCAAGAAGATAAGAGGGAATTAAGAACGCTCATTTCATTTATAGCACGAAAACAAACAGATGAACAGATAAAAAAAAACAGACAAACTTGCTAACCAACATTTGCCTTAGAAAGTCTCAGGCAAATATAGATATAAATAAACTTACTCGCAATCTGTTGGTTTATCCAGTTTATGTAGTAGCTAACACGGGCGTACATGGAATAGTTATCAGTTTTGCATTTATCGCCCGTCCAAGATGCTACACCACGAAGAACCCACCGTCCATTTTCCTCGCAAACGAGAGGACCTCCACTTAAACATGAGACAGTAGCGTTATACAAAGTATGAAACACAATATCATTTAGAAGATGCTGCATCCTTACACTGAGTCAGGGACGGGTCGCTCAAAAGTTGTTGGGTATAAACCAAGATTTGGCGCATTTTTATTTGTTTTAACAGATTTATTTTTGGGGGCAGTTTAAGAGTAAAATCTGGTCGCAGGTTATCCCATGGTACAATCAGCTGGCGTGTGGTAGTCGTTACATTTTCCTTTGAGTGGTGACTTCCACGAAACAAAAAGGCGGAAGCCTGCTCACAGTCGAATGCTTCTTTAAAGAGGGCATTCGATTTTCTCTTATCTTAACTAAATAGCCTCATTTTCTCATTTTTTTGTTTTGAAATGGGGGAGAAAGCGGGGAGATAGGGCTCTGTCAAATACCTTATTATCATTTATTTATTACCTGTCCCCATGACATGCCACTTTTCCACCTCCTCCGATGCAAACCATGGTAGCATCATGAACTCTACTCCCGGCTTTAGTTGAGCATGTATTGAAGTCCACAATTGGAACGCTGGCTTGTTGAAGGTGTGTGGGCGATTTGTGATTTCCCCAGAAGGTAATCTTGACGGCACCCCACCCTAGATAAATACAGCAAATAAAGAAGAGGATGATTTAGAGTCCTCCCAAAGCCACACGCTTCTTGTCCAGTTCAAACCATTTGCCTGTTTCACACTGAACCAGGGTCAGGGTATTCGCCCAAACTTAGGGCATTCGCTTGGAGTTTGGAACGAATTATTAACCTTTTAACTCCCAAGATCTCATTAGTAATTCTCCTTACTGTCTGCCATACAATTGTTATGATGTCAATTTGGAGAATTTAGTATTGGATCAACTAGTAATCCCCTAAGTGATATTTTTCTTTATTCTCCTCACTTCTATACTTAACATTATGCTGATATTGTAAGGAGAAATTCTCTCTTGGTCACTCATAGAAGATAAAGGGTTAAGGGAAAAAATAACTGAAAAACAAACAAACAAACGCAACAAGAAGCAGAGGAGAACTAGAAACTAAGTCCATGATTTTCAGATCTACAGCAAATATATAGTCAAACTAAAAGGAAAAATATACAGATACTTGAAGAATGAAAATTTTCCAGGAAGAGATGGAAGAGTTGATTCTACGGAGATCACAAGTGGAGAGACAGACTCCCGATTGCTGACTTCGCTTGGATCGTTTATTTCTTTGTTTTTGTTAATTTCCTTCTCTGTCATTGTCATGTTGGAAACGGTCAAAGAAATGATGAAACATAAAGAGACGTTTTTTGACTTTATTCTGTTTATTTAGCTATAAACTCATATTATTTATTTCTGGTTGTTTTTTTGTCTTTTGAAAGTCTTCTCCACGAAGGCAAGAAACTACATAAATTGATTAGAATTATGAGCGCAAACCTGAAATCCAACATCGACTTCCCGGGGAGATACGAGATTGACTCTTAGGGAAACACACAGTCCCTACTTTATTGCTGAGTTTCACGGGTACAGCGAGCCTCAACAGCGCCATATCATTCCTAAGGTGACTCATTGAAAATCCGCCATGCGCAATGATCTTGTTTATGCGGTAGGTGACTCCGTCTCCGCGTATTCGGTGTGCTCCTAATAGAATTTTTTTAAAGAACAGTTGATATGGTTTGTGCTCACTTATCATTGGTGAGTACTTTGAGAAATATAATGAAAATGATTATAACAACAATGGGAGTTTGGCAATGAACTCTTTACGAGGTGATTCTTCTTGTCCACTGTTTCCAAGACGAATTGTAATCGAATTTGTTAGCTTTTATGGTGTGAGGATAACCAAAAACCTCGGAAAAAAACCCTCGGAGCGAGGAGAGAACCAATAACAAACTCAGCCCACATGTGACGCAGGTCCGGGAATCGAACCCAGGCCATAGCAGTGGGAGGTGATTGTTTTCACTACTGCGCTATCCCAGCTACTCTAAGCCCTTGGGCTTTATCATGGCCTTACAACGGCCGCATAAATAAGTGTTTGAGAGAGAATACATACTTCACAATATCTATTGTCATTCCCAGTGCCTGATAAAGTCGTCTGTAAGGGTAGGAAATATCAGACAGGTAGGAGGCAGACCGAAATGAACGAGAATAGTTTGCACATGATTGAAAAACGAAGCTTTTTCAATTTTTTTTTCATTTTTCGTAAAATATCCAAATCTCCTTTGAGCCCATCTTCTTGAACGTCTATCCTCACCTGCTACGAGGCTGTACAAGTGTGGATCAATATAATTTCTGACGCAATGAGCCGCTGTGATGGCCCATCGAGGACTAATCAGGGACGCACCACAAGTATGGCCTCCCATCAGTCTTAACGACAGCTGCCAGGGCCATGAATTGGGCGTTGCTGTCGAGCCCCCAACGATTCTGGTCCCAGGACGACGTCCACATTGAGCTATGACGTAGGAAGGAGAAAAATAAGTTATAAAGATGAATTTAACGAAAAGTCAGTCAAAATATACCGCTATCAGAACTTCACTAATCTGAAAAGACAAAAAGCTTTTTCAATGACGAGTACACTTTGAAATTGTTTGAACAAATCAAGAACCGCAGCTGCTATTTTTGCTGAACGTTTCATTGATGAAAAGAATGGAAATCTGACCAAAAAACATGCAAACAAACAAAAGACAAAAACAAAACAGAAACTGCAACATATGAACGCTTGAAAAGTCATGAAATGTGTGTTGAAATCTTGAACGAGACGTATCTGTGCATCCCAGCTATGTAGGCTTTGTCTGCTTTATGATTAAAAAAAATTGGAGAAATAGCCACAATTTTTTTAGTATCAACGTGTCATCATGCAGAAGATCACAATCTGAAACAATTTTTTTCCTTTCGAATCCATACAATTACTTGACTCTTTTGTAAATAAAATGATTTTCTAAAATACCAAAAGATAGTTACCAGGAATAAAAAAATCTGTTTGGCTTAGGTAATCAGTAAAATGACTGAGCGATATTGTTTTATAAATTATTATTTATTAAACATATTTAACTACTTTACTCTTACCTTGAGAAGGAACTGGCTCGAATAAAATGGTGAAAATCAATGCAATAACAAAGTGCATTTTATCCTTATAGTGTACAACGAATGTGATCTATCTTTGATCTCGAGCATACATTTATCAGTTGAGTTATCATTGATCAGCTGTAAAACATCTGCTTTTGAATTTTATCTAGGCAAGGCAGATACAAAGGGAATTCAGAAAGCTGTGCACTCATTTAATAAAACGATTTCATGAACTGAAGGAAGATTTAATATTGTGATTGTAAATACTCAGAGCATTCGATGAACTACCAAACAATGCAGATAGAATGAACCGCTAGCCTTTTTTTGGTTTTGTTTCTTGATCTCATTTTGTCATGCTGGAATGTTTTTCAGTAACTCGTAAACTTCAAGTAACTTCGTAAACTCGTGTACTTCAAGAAAATTTTCCAGTAAAACTTTTCTCGCAATTATCACCTCACTAGCAGTGCACGTGTTATATAAACAACATCCATTTGTGATGTATCAAATTCTTACTAACCGAGGGCCGTACTTGGGAATAATGGCCGGATGTCCAGTACAGACCGTGCGCAGAGATTTCCGTACAAAAACGACCGAGGGCCATCATTCCACAGTATGGCTCGATATTGCGAGGTTAGAAAGTAGCTTATTATTGGGCACTCGGATCAAACTTGTTTATTTTGAATTTACCGGCTTTCCCGAACAAAAAGATCTGCTTCTAACTATTTCCGTGGAAACGGTCCGTGTGGCAAAATACCGAATAAGAACCAATCTGGACGATCGTGTTTACCTCAGGGCTACCTTGCCACATA